ATTTTTTGTTTTTGAAATCAAGTCCTTCACTACATTCCACAAGGGAGTCCGAGTGTGGCTTTGGCCTGCTGCCCATTTATGGCCACATTCGACTCTTCCCAATATGGAAATAAACCGCTTGAATCGGGCCAAAAACGGCGACAATGCGATAAAGCGATGGCGACTACGTGAGGCGCCACTTGCATCGCCGGTTGAGAAGGCATATGATTCAGCTTCGTTCAGCGCCAATGAAATGCTAAATAAATTTTCACTTCCATTTTAATTAATTTGAATTTATTTGAAACTAAAATTACACCCAACATTTACACACCGAAGGCGCAAGTGAGCAGAAATTTGTGGCTGTCGACTAAAAATAAATTGACAAAAATATTTTTTGTTTTTATGAAAGGGTAATGAAAACCACATGTCCTCCAAATACGCTTGTAAGAATATATATAAACCCCACGAATGGAAAATTGTGGGTGTAGGATAATTATGGGAGGGACCACCTAACACACACACACACTCACTCTTCTGGATGCCATTTTGATGGGTGTTGAATGATCTCGAATCGTAATACTTCGGTGAATGCTTAATACTGATCACTTGATTGGCCCGCTAATTAGTAATTGCACAATGGCTGGCACAAAGGCGAGCACGTTTTTCGGAAACTCAACACAACACAGCACAACAAACACACTGTGGTGGGGCTCTCTGCTATTTCGTAAACAAAACTCAAAATATTCAATTTGAAAATATATATAAACAAATATATTTTCCTGCGCGGTTCGGTTTGCACTCGTACTCGATTCGTACTGGCCGCGACAATTCCTCAACTCGACTGAGTTGTATGCGCCTCTTTGCTCTAAGTTTTTATGCAGCAGAACGCTGCGCGCAGTTTTATTTGTTCAATTTCTTTATTATTATTTGCTCAGAAGAATCCCACACAGCCAAGGATGACAGTCTAGAGATGCTCAGGGGTTGAGAAAGTGCCATTCTGAGTGACTCAAAATAAATTGTTTAGTTAAAGTTGAAGTTAAATACGAACACAACACAATATAGCAATAGATATAAAAAAAATCCTTAAATTTGGTTAAGCAAAATTTTGAAAATTAATAGACATAGTTTTTATTGTTAAAATTTCTCCAAAAATACATATTCATAATTGTTAGAATTTCCAACCAATCAGGCGCATGCCACCAATCTGATATCTAGGGAAAAGTTTGAATTGTTATTAAGAAAAATAATGCAGTCGATAGCTATAGAAAATAGAAAATCTCTATAAATATACATATATATATAAATTACATTTATTGTTAAAAAATCATTATTATAACAAATTTGTAAAAATGGACAATAAAAAAAAAAAAGGAGGCGCTAATTAATCCTTTTTATCAAGCTCAATCTATCCCAATATATCAATTTAGATATCGGTCTTTATGGCAAATATCTATAAAGTACCGATATAATTATACATTCTGAATTTTTCTTATCAAATATGGCAGTCTAGACTCTAAAGAAAATTCCATTCTGTTCTTAAACGATGTGCTAAGATTATAAAATAAAGTGATCATATCTCCGTTAATATATAGACAACCTCGAGTGTGCTTACATCTTCAATACATAATTTGTTCAATATTTATTTTGCTTCGTGTTTTTGTGTTGTGTTTTTTTTTTTTTTGTTATTGCATGTGACGCCGACTGCGACGTCAACTGCACTCTTGACTCTGTTTGGCAGGTTTTTGGCCAATTCCCCTCCTGCCCCAGTCTTGGCCCCCTCTTAAGTCATAGCAAATGTGATTTTGTGATTTTCGACGCGCAGCTGATTTTGTTGTTATTCTATTCATAGAACTGGTTGCGGTCTTTTACTTTATTTTTTGCTAGATTTTCAGTTTGCTGACTCCTGTTCGAATGCCTCATTTGACTTGTTTCAAGTACAATTCACTTTCTGGTATATAATATCCACATTTTTGCATTCCGTGTTCCCCCGCCTGTTGACTCATTATTTGCGAATAAAATATGTGAAATCATATAAAAGTTTGAAATCAAAAGCATATACTATGCAGCTAGTAGATATGACTAATACGCTCCGCCGGCTAAATCAGCTGTCATAAATTCTTGGTTTTTATTTTGCTTGGGTCGAAAGACTCTCTCGGCCAATGTTTATGTATTTTCTTAGATAAAACGCAGCCAGAGCACGCTAAATATATCGTAAATTTAATTTTGATTACGTGATTTCAAAAGCTAAAAGATCGCCATCGCAAGAACTCATAAAACAAAAAGTACTTTTCTGGAAGATGGATGTTAAGGAAGTCAAGATACTTGTCTATAAAGGTTTTTTTTCCAAAGAAATGTAATTAAAATTGGCGTAAATTCAATAATATTAAAGTTACTAAGAATATGGTGCTTTAACTATACAAAACTTAAAGACTTTGAGAAGAATATCTTTTATTAAAACATTTTAAGTTCTGGTCTTAATACTACTTATTTTTTGATTGAAAGTGTTTTGTATAATATTTAAACAGCTTCCTTGGTGTAAAATATTATATAAATATTTATGTAAAGTAATTAAATGACTAACTTACTTGGCATTTAATTTTCTTTTAATATATATGTAAGGAAATAATAGAATAAAAAGAGTCAAAAATAGCACAATAATGGAAAGATAAATATTTTGTCTCAATAAAATGTAACTAAAATAATCCCAAAACTATTTTAAATCCAAAATATATTCAATTATCCAGTGTGAGTGTGACGCCTAGCGCGTGTAGTTTTAAACAAATTTTATTTATATTTGTTATCATTATTCATGCCATTTGAATATCTCTTTAACAGCTGTTCTGGCTGTTAATACTTTATGTTGCGCATACGCCCCGTTGCCGACAACAAATTTCACGTGCCAACGCTTTATTTTCCTTCCTTGATTCTGCCCCTAGGTATATACGTACATACATACATATTTTTGAAAGAAAATTAATGGAATACAATTAACAATAGCTCAGCGGGATGCAATAACAAAAGCAAAGGAGTATACAAAGGTGGTTCCAAAAGTTCTTAAGTAAATACTTTCACTACAACAGCTGCAAGGCACACAAATTAGGCCAATTCAAATATTTGTGATAGTACTTTGACTATAGATAATTTCAAGAAGAATTGAGACCAACTGTTTTGGATGAATAAATAAATCCAAAATGCGTAGATAAACCATTATATAAAAAATGGATTTTTTACTGAGATCTTATCAGTCGCTTTGGAAACTCATCGAAATGAAGTTCGTATCAATCCTTATGGTGCTGTGTATCCTGGCAGGATGTGCTTTGTCCCAGGATACCACTGAGGCTCAGCCAGAGACCACTGGCTCCTATTACTGGGATACGGATACAACTACTCCACAACCAGAGACCACGGCAAGAACCCCTACAGAACAGCAACCCTGCGGCTTCCCAGGACCCTGTGCCGGCAAACTTCCCCAGGATGCCAAGAAAGTGTACTTCTTCTTCTAATTTTGATCTATCATAAAATAAAATTAAATCACTTGGAAAAGAAATAACTTAAAGCCCCCGGAGAGTTGCTCAATCTCCCCCAAGGTATAGTTGAAATTTCTCAGGTGCGCCAGAGCGTGCGATCGATGCTAAATAAAGACCAAAACTAGCAGCATCTGGCGCCTCAAGACACATAAATGCACTTTACGTTCTCATAGCCAAAACAATTAATGGCTTCTTCGCTTCTTGGTCCAGCAAAAGGCCGAAAGGGGGAAATGTATCACATAATGGCAACGCCTCTCGTACGCAATATTTCACACCAGAAATTCACATAGGCAACCGCAAGACAAGAAATATTCCAAATCTACTATATTTCACATATATATTTAATGGATATATATATGTATATATATTTCTGTCCGACTAAAACAGCACTTTTCCGCGAATTATTCATCACTCGTATGCACATATATATTTCAACGCGCAATTGCCTTTATTGGAGACATTATTTCACATACTTTGGCATTTTCACTGGGCTTTTCAACAATTTCTACACAAGTTGCGAAATTTCACTTGCTATATATTCGCGTATATATAGAAAAATTTGAACAAACACACACGCGTCTACATATATGTATGTACATTAAATATTGCGTATACGCCGCGTATTCCAAACGAAAAACTCAAGATCCGCACACGTCCAAGTCAATGCAGCAACTGAAAATCTTTTCGAAAATGCCAAGACACAACCCACAACTGAGTGTTTTTCCCAGATTTTCTTTTTTTTTGTTTATGTTTCTTTTTGGTGGCTGAATAGCGAGCGCGAAAAGAAATAAATATTTTCAGAATTTCCATGCGCCGTGAGCGATTTCTGTCAGGCGCACTCAAAACATGACTAAGACCAGCCACCAGTGTGTCTCTGATGGTGTCTGGGATCTGCTCTACCTGATTCTAATTAGAGCAGGGCAACACGTGTGACCAGGGAGACACTTCCCTGTCTAGAAGACCTCACCCATAAATCAGAAAGTGGCGGGAGAATGAATCATTCGAACATTTTGTCTGCCCATTGAATCATATCTTTGGCCTAGAGCCAAGAGATTCAATTCCTCCAGGAATCTTTTAATCACTCAAAATAGGGGACAATAGGCTAAGGTTTCTTTTGTTAGTGAAAGCAATGGCTCATGATTTTTATTGGGAATTAGGCAGCTCGTAAAAAATTCATAAATTCCTGTGGTATTTCAAAAATGTAGACGTCTTAATTATGTCAAATTCATCTTCTTCTAAAAAAGTTTCAACATATTGAAATTTTAAAAAACTATTCAAATCAAATGATACTTTTTCTTAACGTACATTTCAGGTAAGAAACTTTTAGTTTTGTTGTTTAGGAAAACTTTTATGGAATTCTTTATAAGATTTCCCATTGAAAAAAAGAAAAATAATGTTTTTATTTAAGAAACTTCATTCATTCAAAAATTAAACTCTAATCTTTCCTCTTTGAAGACTTTTCTTCCTCTTAAACAAACAAGTTTTTCTTATGTCTTGAGCAGCTTTTATTTAACCAATTATTGTCTGTTGATTGACCTGCGCACACTTGCCATAGCCACTCATCGTTTGTCGCATCCAATCCCTATAGTACATGACATCCATAAATAGATCCGGCACGCCCTGAGCACACGGCACAAAGAAGTTGAGGATGCCAACCAGGGTGCTATTATGGACCAGCGGACCACCAGAGTCGCCGTGACAGGCTCCTACGTTGGCCTGCCGATAGGCACAGAGGTGACCAGGAGCTAGTTCCAGATCCTCGTAAGCAGAGAGTAGGGATGCACAGACCCGTCTCCCTAAATGTTGCTGCTGGACACGTTGTAGTTGGGAGGGCAGACTACCAGCCACCGATTGGGCACCCCATCCGGTAAACACCAGCTCCGAGGTTCCCTGTGGAAAGGGGGAAGTCGGGAGACGCACTGCCTGCGTTTTGGCATCAAATATGATGGTCTCATTCAAGTGCAGCAGTCCTATGTCGTTCTGGTACTTGGGAGTGTCGTAATTGCAGTGCAGATAGATAGCATCCGGATAGTACACAGCTCCAGGCTCCGCATACCGAAGAGTTCCAGTGGCCACTTGAAGCCGGCTGACTGGATAACCTCTGACACACTGGCCAGCGGTGAGTATCCAGCGATCCGCGATGATGGCACCACCACACAGGTGACTACCCACGGGGGTTTGCAGCGACACCTGATACGGAGCATCACCCTCGACGGCATTCTGACCTCCGACAATAAAGTGTTCTTGGGCCACAAGACCATCGCAGAGAAGAAGGAGGAGGAGGAGCGTACCCAACACCACAGAGAACAGCAAATGGAACGCCATGACGGGAATGAAAGCAAACACTGACTGAGCTTTTCTAGTTTCACCCTCTGCAGTTTTGATTGAGCGATTTATTCATTGGCATCGTAAACACGAATGGCCAAAGGTTCCCTCGAATCGCGCTCCATAAACTGTTTTTTATATCTGATTCCGATAAATGGTCAAGAAAGCAATCGCAAGCAGTTCATTAGGTTCTCAGGCACAGAACCAAAATGTCACCAGTGGCCTTGCTACTTTTCCTGCTGACGCTTGGAGGAATCACCTCCTCCGGCTGGGCCATTCGTGTCAAGGGAAACGCCACCGGAGTGGGTGTATACAAGGATCAGAGGGTCATTGGTGGTGAGGCGGCTCCGGAGGGTTTCGCTCCTTATCAGATCTCCCTGCAGGGCCTCTCCGGTGCCCACTCCTGCGGTGGAGCCATCATCGCCGAGCAATGGGTCCTTACCGCCGCCCATTGCGTGGTCAATGCCAATATCGAGTTTCTGGTCGTGGTCACTGGCACCAATCAGTACAATAAGCCAGGTGGCAGGTACTTCCTCCAGGCTATCCACATCCACTGCAACTATGACAGGCCAGAGATGCACAATGATATCGCCCTCCTGCATCTGAAGGAACCGATTGTGTGGAACGAACGCACCCAGCCCATTCCCACGGCCAAGATGCCCATGAAGCCAGGTGATGAGGTTGTACTCACCGGCTGGGGCTCTACGGTTCTTTGGGGCATCGCTCCCATCGATCTCCAGGTGGTCTATCTCCGCTATGTGCCACATCTAGAGTGCCTGGGACTTTTAAGCAACGATCCTGCCTGCGATGTGGGTCACATTTGCACCTTTTCGCGGCAGGGCGAGGGATCTTGCCATGGTGACTCTGGCGGACCGCTGGTCAGCAATGGCTACCTGGTGGGTTTGGTCAACTGGGGCTGGCCATGTGCCACTGGAGTGCCGGTAAGTTAGTTTTTAGTTAAGGTTTTTTGTGGGGAAAATCTTTTTCTACAATTTTATAACCTGTCTGCTAGTTCATTTGTCTGATAAATAGTAACTGCAGTTCCTATTCCTTATTTAACATATTTACATAACTTCCCTGAAATATAAGTAAGCAAATCTATTCTGGTATCATTTATAACTCCCAGTCTGATAACATAGAAAAACCAACTCATTGCCTTTAAAATATGTCTGATAATACCATATAATGGTATCCAAAAGTAGACCAAGTAATAACTAAACTAGCAAGCCATTGGCACCTTACCATTTTCCAGTTTACATATTCCTATAAATTACAGGATGTCCATGCCAACATCTTGTTCTATGTGGATTGGATGCGCAACATCATGAGTGGCAATGTGAAATGCGGAGGCTTCAGCACCAGGCAGGTCTAGGAGTTCCGTATTCCACTTGAGGCTATCGTTGTCCATAAAATTGGCCAGTTTATAAGGCAACGATAAACTGTGGCCCTCGATAAGACCCAATGAAACTCATTAATAAAGTTTTGATAGCGATGAAAGTGGCTTTTAGTGTTCAGTACGTGGCCAAAACCCTTAAGATGAAGCTGTTCCAAGTTGGCGTCTTGCTCCTCCTGTTGCTCCAGTCCCCGAATCCTGGCCAGGCCAAGCGTCTGGTTGGACCCCATCCAACGGGTCTGACGGGCAGGATTAAGGGTGGTCAGGATGCCGAGATTGGATTTGCTCCCTACCAAGTCTCCCTGCAGCCCATAGTGGGTGCCCACAACTGTGGCGGAGCCATCCTCAACGAAAAATGGATCATAACTGCTGGACACTGCGTGGAGAACTTCACACCCGCCCTGGTCAACGTGGTCACCGGTACCAATAAGTGGGAAGAGCCGGGAGCGGTATACTACACCTCTGAGATCCATATGCACTGCATGTACGATAAACCCTATATGCACAATGACATCGCCTTGGTGAAGCTCACCCAGAACATCACCTTTAATGAGCTGACGCAACCCATTGATCTTCCCAATGGCCCACTGCGTCCTGGCGACGAGATTGTGCTCACAGGCTGGGGATCTCAGGAACCGTATGGCAGCTCCATGGAGAACCTGCAGAAGCTGACCATGGGCTTTGTGCCCTTCGATGAGTGTTACGATATCTTCAATCAGACCACCAGCATGGGAGTGGGACACATTTGCACCTTTTCGCAGGAGGGCGAGGGCACCTGCCATGGCGACTCCGGCGGTCCGTTGGTCAGCAATGGGCGGCTGGTGGGCGTGGTCAACTGGGGAAGACCCTGCGGAGTGGGATTTCCCGATGTCCAGGCGAATGTGTACTACTATCTGGATTGGATTCGTAGCAAGATTAGCGGCAACAACAAGTGCTACTATTGAGGAGTTATGGGTTGATTAATTAAATTACAAGCCTTAAATGTTGCTTACAAAATACATGGATTTGTAAATAAATAAAAAAAGATTTGATTAAATATGGATTTAAATTTGAATGGAATATTCTTAGTTATTATTATTGGTCATTCGTTTTTAAATTACATGGAAGTGATAAAAAAGTTAAGGCCTTTTTCTGACTTAGCCTGTTTATTGTCTTTTTTAAACCTTTAATAAGTCTTTTTCTGTTCAAATATAATTTATAACGAAACTTAATTGCTTCTAGATTGGAAGGCAAATTAATATTTTATTTAATATTTACTTAATTGCTTCTAGATTGGAAGGCAAATTAATATTATATTTAATCTTTATTGCAAATGTTTTTCAAATATCAAATATTTATTCTGCATTCAATATTAATAAATAGTACAAAATTATATGGAAAATATTATATGTAAAAAAAAGTTATCTAACCAAATTTCAAAGAGGATAAAATATAGTTTATATCTTTAAAACATATATATTTATAGATTGGTTTTCAAATTAAAGATAACTAATCTCAAATTTAGTTTTGAAAAACATCGATGGAACGTAAGCGTAATATTTGTTCAAGGGAGAATATATTTACTTTTAAAAGAAATATATTTTGAGTTTTAATCAAAACTCCAAACTAACTCCAAAATAGTTTTAAAAAGTATTATGCGATATATCTTGTAAGCAAAACCTTTATTCTCTGTGAAATGATTAAGCATGTGACAAGGTATATTTAATTTTATCCTAGAAATTAATCAAAATCGTTATCATTTCCTAATCTTCCAAAGTAATCTGTAGTCATCACAGCTCCCAACTTACTCTTCACGGATAATTGCTGGCATAGCAATCGCAATTGCTGCTGCAGGTTTCGGAGATCATGCGCCGGATCCAGTCCAGATAGTAGTGTACAGAGGCATGGCTGTCCGGAACACCGGTGGCGCATGGATAACCCCAGTTGACCAGGCCATAGAGCACACCATTCTGGGTCAGAGGACCGCCAGAGTCTCCATGACAGGCCCCTTGACCACCGGTCGTCAGGGTGCACACATGGCAGGGTCCATTGAAGGGATCATTGTTCAAGAGCTCCTGGCACTTCGGGTACTCCACATACGTGAGAGAGGCCTTCTGCAGGACATCGGGAGTGTCGCCCCAGAGCTCCGTGGAACCCCAGCCGGTGAGAATCAGTTCCGTGCCATTTTTCAGCGGTTCCGTTGGCAGCTTTGCCGCCTCCGTGTACTCATTAAACTTAATGGTGTCGTTTAGTTTGAGCAGGGCAATATCGTTGTGGTAATCCGGACTGTTGTAATTGCAGTGTACCCAGTACTCCTCCACAAAGTACAGAGCATCCGGCTTCCCCCATCGCACCGTACCGGTGGCCACTCTCAGATAGGGAGGATTATAGCCATAGACGCAGTGTGCCGCCGTCAGGGCAAAGCGTTCGTTGATGATGGCTCCACCGCACATGTGGTCACCGTACATGCCCTGCAGTGAGATCTGGTACTTGGCCTCACCCAGTGCCGCATCCTCGCCGTTGATCACTCGATTCTGATAGGTAACTCCACCCGCCTGCATGATCCTCGCCAGCTGCTCCTCGCTGAGCTGGGCCTGGCGAATGGCATTGCTGGAATGGCTGCACCAGGTCAGCAGGATCACAAGGATCACAGTCGCAGATAGACCGCGGCGCAACATTATTGGTCGAAAGTGCTTGAAGAACGTTTTTAGACCAATTAAACCTGCATGTGAGTCGTGATTTTCCTTTTATACTTGCCAAAAATCGTTTCAATATCGTAAGCGGTGTAGAGTTTTATCGTAAATCGGTTTCGATGTTCCCGCAAGTTGTATCTATGCCATAAAGTCTGGCCATGCCATAAAATGATATAGACGTACTCTGATTATAAATGATTTGTGAAGGGGGCAATCAGTATCCGAGCGGAGGGAAGGGATCGTCCACTGGACATTGACACGATATATTTTCACAAAATATACAAAAAACAGGGTACACCCACAAGGATTACCTGGATTATATTATTAAGAGAAGATAAAGGGTGTTAAACATTAACAAGAAAGGAAGCTAACTTCGGCACGCCGAAGTTTATATACCCTTGCAGATAGAACTTCTATGAATAGGAATCCATACAATATAAATTATATATATTTGTGTTAAAAAACAATGAAGTAATACCTGCTTTCATTTCATTCACCTATACATATTATATTTGCAGTTTTACATTCACAGATTTGCATTTTTCCTCTACATCAAACGATCGTTTGTATGGCACCTATATGATATAGTCGTCCGATTTTTATGAAATTTGTCACAAAATTTAAGACTTATATAAAATGGCTATACCTCAAATTTGATGAAAATCAGCTGAAAACTAAAAAAGTTATAAATTTATTTGTATTAATTTCTCGATCGTTCCTATGGGAGCTATATGATATAGTCGTCCAATTTTCATAAAATTTTACACAAAATTTTAGAATAATATGAAATGGCTATATTTCAAATTTGATTAAATTCTGTTGAAAACTAAAAATGTTATCGCCACCGCGATTGTCAGTCTTCCGACAACAGCCACCGCCATTCTCATTCCTCTCAAATTTCTCGATCGTTCCTATGGTAGCTATATGATATATAAGTCCGATTTTCATAAAATTTTACACAAAATTGTAGAATAATATGAAACGGCTATATCTCAAATTTGATGAAAATCTGTTGAAAACTGAAAATGTTATACTTTTTAATTGAATTAATTTCTCGATCGTTCCTATGGGAGCTATATGATATAGTCGTCCGATTTTCATAAAATTTTACACAAAATTGTAGAATAATATCAAATGGCTATATCTCAAATTTGATCAAATTCTGTTGAAAACTAAAAATTTTATAATTTTTTTTGTAAAACTTTTCCGATCATTCCTATGACAGCTATATGATATAGTCGTCTGATCCGGCCCGTTCCGACATATATACGAGTGAGAGTATATAGAAGACTAACTGCAAAGTTTCATTCAGATAGCTTCAAAACTGAGAGACTAGTTTGCGTAGAAACGGACAGACGGACAGACGGACAGACGGACAGACGGACATGGTTAGATCGACTCGGCTGTTGATCCTGATCAAGAATATATATACTTTATATAGTCGGAGGTGCCTCCTTCACTGCGTTGCAAACTTCTGACTGAAATTATAATACCCTGCAAGGGTATAAAAACATTAATATGTTTAAGATAAAAAATCTTATACGAAGACATTAGCATAATTAAAATAAAGTAAACAATTATTGAATTTTATTCCAAAGTTCTAAAAATACAAAACCGAGTTTTGTATAAAAATCTGGCATTAATTTTGTTTTAAAATAATTTATAATAAATAAAATTATAAAAATAAAATAAATAATTATTTACAATATTAGTGAAATAAAAAGTACCATTCAAATCAGTTTATTTAATTTTTGTTTTTCCATTTTGCACTTTAGGATATACTTTTGTTAATTTTATATGAACAACCCGATGTAGAACCTAATTATCTCAGAACCCTTTCCTATTTTTAATCGCTTATATCTATATTTATCTCTTTTACTAAAATATTATCTATATTAATAATCTAAATTAATATTAAATAAAAATTCCCCAGAGTATGCACGCCTGTCTAAAGCATTACCATTCGACGGCCTCAGCAAACATAACATACAATTATCTGATATCATAAGCCTTTAATAACAGATCCATAAAAGCCTAGATTGCCCACCTATTGACCACAGACCTGGGCCTTCGCCTTGTTCGTCGTCGAATGAGTAAGTGTACAATATTATCAACATGGGTTTTTCTTGGCTCAAGTAAAAATAATTATATATTTTGCAAATTCATGCGCCGGTCAGCAATATTCTTTACGATCTCCTTTACGTGACCCTGTTCTTGCAGCCCGATCGAGTCCTGCGGATCCAATCCTGATAGTACACAGTGTTGGCGAACCTGAAGGAAAAGGTATTTATAATATTTATATTTTCACAGTTGCTTATATTAACTTACATGTCTGGCATGCCCACGCCGCAGGGTCGTCCCCAGTTGACCAGACCCACCAGCCTTCCCTGCCACATAAGAGGTCCTCCCGAGTCGCCAGAGCAGGAGCCTTCTCCTGCCTTTGTGAAGGTGCAGATATGGCCAATGTCGATGCCGGTGTGATAATCCCAAGCCTTCCGACATTCCTCCTGATCGATGATGGTCAGGTTAAGGGTCTGCAGGAACTGCACCGTAGGCAGGCTGCTCTCCGGAGCACCCCAACCCGTCAAAGTGGCCGTAGCACCAACCGGAGGCTGCGCCGAGCTCAGCTCTACGATCTTCACGCGATCATTGAAGATAATGGATTCATTCAGATGAATCAAACCAATGTCATTGTTGTACAAATAAGGAACATCATACAGACAGTGGACCAAAGCCTCGTCGGGGAACAGAGTCTGGCCAGGACTCAGACGATCGTTGGTTCCAACTATAATCCGAAGATCGGCGAGGCCATAATCCAAGGCACAGTGTCCGGCGGTGAGTATCCATTCTTCATCGAGGATGACACCGCTGCAGATGTGCGTTCCCCAGGTGGTTTGGATGGACACCTGATAGGGTGCCACTCCATCCGGTGCCTCCTGGCCACCCACAATGCGATTGTCATACCTTTGGATTTTACGATCCCCTCGATTCAATGGCTGCTCCAGCCGCTTGCCGCAAGTGACGTCAATGGTGGTGGCCAGCAGAAGCAACCCACACACCACCAGAGACAGGGACAGAGGCCAGTGGAGACGGACAAGCACCATGACAGAGACTTCGACTTCAACTTGGACTTCAACTTGGACGTGGAGACGGTAACGGGGGACAGAGCTACGCGAATTAATGACCAGCAATGGAAAATTGTATGACCCAACTGGGCGTTTTTATATGGAATCACCATATAAACACAAATTTTATCGCTTTGCGGGGCTTTTGCCCACTCGGGTTTTTTCTACTGACCACCGAATCTTTATGGTCCTCGGGCCAGGTATCTTTATGGGTTTAAGGATAAAACCCAAACGGTATCAGCGGAATGTTCAATTGGAGCTGGTATACCGTCGTGGGCAAATCTCGGCGCTCTATAAATGCACCGAGCCGGCGGAGCAACTAGCTCATAATGCCGGAGTCCCACTCGGCGGATGAATGCCACTTATCGCCTCCGTCCAGACCTCCATAAACAATCTGCTATCCAAAAGCTTGGCCAGGAAGCGATAAGATCTGAATGAATGAGGGAGGTGTAATTTTAAGGTGATCCGGTTGAGGGGTTTTAGTTTCGATTGCACACAGCCATGAGAACTTGGTGGAAATTTCCGGGACAGCTACTGCTGATTCTTCTTCTGGTGGTGGCTTCCTCGGAGGCGATGAGGATGCGTGGTGAGCCCATGCCGGGTCTCGCCAATGTCAACAGGCATCGCAATGGCCAGGAGGCGACCAATAGCCAACCTCAGGGACGTATCACTGGCGGCAACACAGCCTCCGAGGGCAGCTGGCCCTGGATTGCATCCATCCAGAATGTGTACTCCTATCACCTGTGCGGTGGCAGCATTATCGACAAACGGTGGATTCTGACCGCCGCCAGTTGTGTGACGGCTTTAAGGGCTCGCAACCTGCTGGTGGTCACCGGAACCAATGATTGGTGGAGTCTCAGTGCCAGTTACTACCTGGTGGATCAGATCCATGTGCATTGCAACTTTGACAAGCCACTGTATCACAATGACATTGCTCTGTTGCACTTGGCCGAGGACATTGTGTACGATGAGGTGACCCAAAATATCACCCTGGCGGACATTGATGAGTTGGATGTGGGTGAGACCCTGACCTTTGCCGGCTGGGGTAGTACCGAAGCCATGGGCACCTATGACCGGTATCTGAAGGAATCCTCTGGCACTTATGTGTCCGTTGAGGAATGCAGTAATCTGTTGGGCAACACAGATGAGGTGGATCTGGGCCATGTCTGTGTCCAGATGCCGGTGGGCAAGGGTGCCTGTCATGGAGACACCGGAGGACCGTTGATTGATAGCCAGCAGCGATTGGTCGGACTTGGTAATTGGGGCGTGCCCTGCGGTCTCGGTCATCCGGTGAGTAGTCTGCTTTAATGTATCCCATCCAATGGCTAAGTAATCTCATTTATGGTCATTTATTTATTTAGGATGTTTATGCGAGAACTGCCTTCTACCACGATTGGATCCGTACCACCATGAACGGCTGTACAATCGCCTAGACATTGGCCACCTCTTATCGGTGCACTGAGGAAAAAACTGCGACTTAAAGAAAGTTCAGCAAGTCTTGATTTCTTGCACATAGAAATCTTGAAGCTTTATTAAACGTTGTAATAAACATGAGTTGGATTTTTATTTCAAGATTATTTTCTTATTTAACAGAAATTTATTTATGGCGTAAGCATGTGTCATTATGTTGATAGCCGTTGACAGAGATTATTTAGTTTTCAAATGGATTGAGTATCGCAATTATTTATTTTTTAATCCTTAATAATAAAACTTATTTAATATTCGATATCAGAGAGTTTTCTGAAGACTTGTTTTGAGCTATGGACATAGTTTAAAAAATTTGTTTGCAATAGTTTCCTGTATCTTTTATTAAGTACATTTAAGTGTCATAAAAGAATTAGGAAAAACAAACAAATAGTGAAGTAATTGTATATTAAATTAAAAAACCAAAAGCATTCAGAGGATTAGATTGATACATTAATGAAAGATTTTATTTTCGTCTACTGAAATGGTATATTTAATTAAATTAAAGTAATACCTTTTTCTTATTAGAAAGAAAGTTAATTAAAAGTTTATCTTAGTGTAATTCATATTATTTGTATTACAGTAACAATTATTTTTGCTTAATTCTCCTAAAAGATAAAAGCTTTTTTAAGATAATTAAATGATTTATATTTCTAGTAGTTATATTTCTAGATGTTAGTAACTGCAGCTCATTAAGGTTATTTCTGATTTAATAACTATTTTCCCTTAGTGTACTTATCACTCATGATTTCTATGGCCGATTTATTAAGAGTTGAACGATTTTTACGAGGGGAGAGTTCTAGGTTTTTTCGCTTGGACTGACCATGATTGAGATTGCGCAATTTTTTTATGATCAGCTTATTAATATCACGCCAGATATCTAATATCGTATGGCGAATATCGTATATCGAAGGTTAGCTGATTTTTAGCTGCACTTCGTTGCCATTAGTTCAACTTTAACAGCTCGTCCAAGATGTCTTACCAAATTCGAGCGGTCTCTCTGCTCGTCCTTGCCCTCGTCCTGCTCACAGTGTCCTTTTCGGAGGCAGGTTTTCGGCGTCGCGCCTTACCTGCAGGAGTAAGGGAAGCCGCAGGCTCCGCGAATAAGTTTAACTCTCGGATCGTAGGAGGAGAATTATCTGATGTGTCAGCAGCACCCTACCAAATTTCCCTACAGAATGCCATAGGGTAGGTGATAGTAGATCCTTAAGATTTGGAAATATGGCAAAGGATTTTTTGAGAAATGAATTTTAGAGATACTCAAACACATCTAACTTCTCCAATAAGTAATTTCTCTCTATCGATTTCTGCAGTAACCATGTCTGCGGTGGTGCCATCATTGCTGATCAATGGGTCGTCACCGCCGCCAGTTGTGTGGCTGGTTTGAGGACGAACAACATAAAGGTGGTGACCACCACATACAATGACTGGGGTGACGCTGGCTGGGAATACTCCGTGGAGAAGGTGGTGTCGCATTGCAACTTCGACAAGCCACTGTTCCACAATGACATTGCCCTGATCAAGACCCATGCCCTGTTTGACTACGATGAGGTGACCCAGAACATAACCACTACACCGCTGGAGGATCTGGTCGAGGGTGAAACCCTAACCATGTACGGATGGGGTAGCACTGAGATTGGTTCGGACTATGCCTGGCAGCTGCGTCAGTTGGATTTGACCTATGTGCCGACGGATAAGTGCAATGCCACCTTTGGTGGCGTTGGGGAGCTGGACGTGGGTCATCTTTGCGCTGTGGGACGAGTGGGAGCCGGAGCCTGTCATGGCGATTCCGGCGGAGCTCTGGTGGATGCCAAGGGACGACTGGTGGGTGTTGGCAACTGGGGCGTACCCTGCGGCTATGGTTTCCCCGATGTCTTTGCCCGACTGAGCTTCTACGACAGTTGGATTAAATCTACGATTAATGGATGTACCATTTCCTAAACAATAAAATCACGTGAAATTTTGTGGTCAGTCTTTGGATTGCAAAGGAAGTTTCTCCTTAGGAACTGGCCAAAAATTATGTCAAAGTCCAAAGGCCTTGATTTAGATAGTAAACGAATGAAGTAATTGAATTGATTAATTGGGAAATCTTGATAATCCCCGTGCCAGACGTCTAGCTTTTGTTGTAATTAGGAGTGATAAGTGAATTGTCAAAAATGGTTAATAACTGCCATCATAAAAAGCAGGTGGAAGTGGGTTTTTCTTATGGGCTTTTAAAATAATACCCTGCTTTAGGAAAAGTCTTATTTATATATATTTTTTTATAGCTGAGAAGCAGAAGCTCAAAACTATAAATGTTGTGCTTGCCTTATCTCATTTATATAAATATTTGCGGCAAACACTTCCGTACTTTTTTATCTGATACATTTTGTTTACCATAGGTTTCCCACAAATAATAAATACGGAAATAGCTTTCCTCAAGGGTATGCCTTCTTCCATATCTTTATGTAGTAGAAACCTTAGCAATTATTCCAGTTAAATTTCAAGTAAAGTTCCATTCCGATTGCTGCCCTATCGAACGACGACGTCTAAAGATCTCCTGCTGCGACCAAAGTCCGCCCACACTGCGTATGAGTAATGTTTTGGTAGTCGTGTGCTAGCCAGTTGTCTATCATCATTCTCAGTCCGAATGGCTCTTAGAATTCCCCTTTATCAGCAGTCAGGGCTATGGTAATTGTCATTATCATAGCTTCCCTCGACTCTTACCCGCTTATCGCCAGAACCGCATTCGTAAGAAATACGAAACTCTCGGCATGATAAGGGGAAATTCGCATAGAACCCGAACCTCGACTATAAAAGCGATTTCAGGCACAAAATGTGAACAAACCGCTTACGGAAGTTGGAGACATCACAGCATTGAGAGAAATTTCTGAGAGAGACTTTATTAATCCTTCAAGATGAAGTGGCTTCTATTGACCTGTGTCCTGGTGATCCTGTCATCGCAGTGTTCGGCCCGTCAAGTGCCCGTGAAGCGCATCCCACAGCTGAACCATCATCTGGGCTATGTGAAGCCGGAGACTCGGGTTATTGGTGGCAGTGATGCCGCCGCTGGATTTGCCCCCTACCAGGTATCCATCATGAACACCTTTGGAGAGCATGTGTGCGGTGGCAGTATCATTGCTCCCCATTACGTCGTCACCGCCGCCCACTGCCTGGAGTGGCCCATACAGTACCTGAAGATTGTAACTGGAACTCTGGATTATACCAAGCCAGGAGCGGAATATCTAGTGGATGGAGCCAAGATCCACTGTGGTCACGACAAGCCGGCGTATCACAATGACATTGCTTTGATACACACCGCCAAGCCGATTGTCTACAATGCTCTGACGCAGCCCATTAGGTTGGCCCCCAAGGGTAGTCTGCCCAAGGTCGGGGACAAGCTCACCCTCACCGGCTGGGGCAGCACCAAGACCTGGGGTCGCTATGCCACCCAGCTGCAGAAGATCGATCTGAAGTTCATCGCCCACTCGAACTGTGAGTCCCGCGTCCGCAATGTCAACTGGCTGAGCGAGGGTCATGTGTGCACCTTCACCCAGGAGGGACAGGGATCCTGCCATGGAGACTCCGGTGGTCCGCTGGTGGACGAGAACCAGAACCTGGTCGGTGTCGTCAACTGGGGCGAGGCCTGTGCCATTGGTTATCCCGATGTCTTTGCATCGGTGGCCTACTATGGCGATTGGATCGCACAGATGATGACGGAGGCGGGAACTGCCTGCTAAATATCACCCGAGAGGGGCAAAAGCCACAACGAACAAAAGTAGCCACTAAAAATTGGCATATATTTATGGACTATGGCCAAATGATCAAATTAGCCAGTAAATTTTATCACTCACATATCATATACTCGTATTTATGAACAAATAAAAAAGGTGCAATAGCGCTTCAGTTTTAGATAAAAATCGTTTTATGTCTTATTGTTTTCGGACACCTGCAAAGGAGTCTAATTTTGGAGGAGAGCCTCCAATCTTTCCTAGACTCTTTTCGAGAAATCCCCCACTTTAGGCTCTTTAGATAACTCTTAGCTGTCAGTCATTGCTTCGATCCATCATGATCGAGTTCCCAGAAATGACTCAGGTGCAAACTAGTCCATAAACAAACGAATTCGGAAGAAGTGTGACATCAGGAAAGTATAGTTAACCCTAATCGAATTACTTAATAGAAATTAGATTAGGGAAGGTACTACTACGAAAGGGTTTTTTTTTTTTGTTAAAAAAAAAACATGCATAATACTTCTAGTTGGTTCTCAGGAATAAATGATTATAAACATGATTGTAAACTTCATAAAAAAACACACTTAAAAAAAGCAATGGAAAAATTTCCACGCAACTAAGATAATGTCTTGGTAGTTTAAGAATTATAAGTTTTCCAAGTGAAAGACATATTATTTACAAAATATATTGATATTTGACCAGTAATTTAATAATTATACAATAAAAAACATCACTTACTTAATGCATTAATATAAAAAAATTAGTGTATTTTATAAACTAAACTTTATCATACGGATGACAGAAAATATTGATACTTTATCGATACTTGAAGCATGGAGAATATATTAATCTATATTTAAAAGTTGTCATATTTTATGTGCTTTATATATTTAGTTTTATAAATTTATCAATTATAAAAATCATTTTTGGAATCGCTTTTCGATAGTATTTTTATCAACATATCTTTTTGGATATTCTCCTTAATGGATTTTTTTATTTTATATTTTATTTATGTACATATTTTTCCAGTCTTTGAAGATCTTGATATTGATTTATAAAACCTTATACTAGCAATAAAAATCGTCTAGACATCATAGCGTATTTACCCCTTATTAGCTAAATTTGCAGCTTATTTAAGAACCCATTGAATCAAATGATTTAAAGCTAATATTATGTAAATAAAGGTTTTATTCCGAATTAAATAAACAAACTTATCAGTGTCTAACCTTGTGCTCTCAATACCAAGTGCCTTCTATCTATAAAAGAGGGTGAGGGTTCTTCAGCGGCCCAGTTGGGTTCCTAAAAATAGAATCAAAGCCCTAAGTACGTGACGGAATTACTAATTGCGAGAACTATTCCACTTATAAGTAGTACTTCCTAGGGAACCTATACCTTAGTTGGCTAAGTAAATAGGTGTCATTATGTTATCCATCGTGCTGCCACTGATCCTGTATAGCTCTTATGCCTCCAGCCAGATCCTGTATCCGCCGCAGTATACCACCAATAGGATTGTGGGAGGAGAGGATGCTGCCGAGGGCGTGGCTCCCTACCAGATATCGCTCCAAGGAGCAGGAAGTGGCCTCCATTCCTGCGGCGGAGCAATCATCGATGAGCGCTGGATCATCACTGCGGCACACTGCACGCGGGGTAGGCAGGCTTCGGGATTTCGAGTCCTTACGGGCACCCAGGATCTGTACCAGAATGCCTCGAAATACTACTATCCGGACCAGATTGTGGAGCACTCGGACTATGCACCGCGCAAATATCGCAACGATATAGCTCTGCTGCATCTTAACGAGTCAATTGTGTTTAATAATGCCACCCAGCCGGTGGAGTTGGATCATGAGGCACTGGTGCCTGGCTCAAGGCTGCTCCTCACAGGCTGGGGTACCCTATCATTGGGTGGAGAGGTTCCAGCTAGGCTCCAGAGTCTGGAGGTAACCTATGTGCCCTTTGAGCAGTGTCGTGCTGCCCATGACAATAGCACCCGGGTGGATATCGGTCATGTGTGCACCTTTAATGACAAGGGACGTGGAGCTTGTCATGGTGATTCCGGTGGTCCTCTAGTGCACAATGGCAAACTGGTGGCTTTGGTCAACTGGGGCTTGCCCTGCGCCAAGGGTTATCCAGGTGAGACTTAGCTGAAGGGATTTTAAGAATAATAATTAATATTTTTTATGATTTCCCTTTAGATGCCCATGCCTCCATAGCTTATTATCACGACTTTATAAGGACTCACCTCAGTTTATCCAAGACTGATAGTCTTGATGAAAATCTAGAGGAAATGATGAAAGAAAAGGATTAAGGTTGGAAATAAGTTGGGTTCTTGGGTCTATGGGTTTTACCAAAGACAGTATAACCTTTAACTTTCCCCTGCTAAATCCAGAAAGCTTACATTGTAAATGAAATTTCTTTTAAAATACAACCCTTATTTAGAAACCAAAAAATGAATATAGTTTACATTTTTAACATTTCTTTTTTAATACGCAATTAGGTAACAAATATACTTAAAACTTAGGCGACTTCTTCTATGGGTATCCTTGGATCGATGACAGCTAACTAACTAGATCCTGGATGTGGCGAGCAATGAAGAATACTTAGAACTGGTTCGCGGGCAGATAATGATTGCCGATGGGACCACCGTTGCCGTTGCCGGCACCATTCTCCACAAATTGTCCCTCGGATGGCTGCTGCTGGGTCTGCTCCTCCTCGTCCTCCTCCTGAGGGTCCAGTGATCCCACCACTGAGGTGATGGGAGCCACACCCTCGTCGGTGATGGTGGAGCTTCCTCCCAAAGTATCGTACTGCGACTGAATCTGCCGCTGGGCATTGAGAGCCTCCTCGGGAGTGCGATACTTGATGAAGAACACCTCCGGCTTGTTGATATGCTGTGGTGCCTCAGCGATGGCATCCTGCAGATCGGCTGCCGAGGTCTTCTTGGCCAGCACATAGACCACGGTCTTCTCCTGCTTCAGGCTCTTGGCGAGATTCAGAGCCGCAGCACGGTTGGTCTGCGCCGGTGTCTTCACGAAGAGCACATTGTAGTGGTTACGTGGCTGCTGGGCCAGCTGATTGAGCTCGTCCTGCACCTCATCCTCGGACTCCTCGGGCGCCGAGTGAATGAAGAAATTCTTGGTCACAATCGGACGCTTGGGAATCCTAACCCGTGGACGGGCCCGCCTCTGCTGCTGGATGGGAGCAGTCTGGAAGTTGACGGGGAAACCAGTGGGCATGGGGAAAGATCCGGCCGTGGGACGGGCCACAGGCTGTGCTGCCGGCTGCTGGTGATGGTACTGACCACTGGGTGGGAGGTAGGGCAGGGGAAGAGGTGGCAAGACCGGATGCGAGGAGTGCAACTGCTGCTGCTGCTGCTGAGCCTGCTGGAGCTGTTGGTTCAACAGGTGAGCCACCACAGGTGGCTGCTGCTGCAGTTGTTGCTGCTGGATGCGATAGTTGTAGCCCGCCTGGGTCAGACTGATGTCTGCCCGGCTGAGGGAGACGCACGTGGCCGCCATTAGAACCGTCTGGAAATGGGAAAAGATGCATTATAATCCTCTGTAGATGCACGGGCAATGTATATAATCCTCATAGATTCTGTTCTCTGTAAAGCGCAGACTAAAAGTATGCTATAGGACAGGCCTAATTCAGGACACTAAAATAGATCTTATAGGTTCCGAAATAGTAGATAATCCTTTGGAAACGCACCACAAAGATCTTCATGCTGTCGCTTGGTGGGTATCTCTGTCTCTGCTGGTTAGCTGTCTGCTCCGGATGCTCCCTCTCGGTCTGTGTGTCTTGGAGCTGTGATGATGGCTTCTTCAGAGCTCAGTGCTTTTATACCCAAACTCGTTTATAATCGGAAGCAACAGCAGCCAAACAAAGTTGCAACAGTTTGTGGGCCATAAAACACAAACAGCATTTGTTATGCATGGCGAAGATGTCGGATCTACATCCACAGTCACATTTACATCAACATTCATCTGGTTGGGTGGCAAGTGGGCCATTGTATGGGATTTACAAGGGAGCTCCAAGCTAAGCGAGAGGTGGTCACAACAATGGACACTGATACACATTCGGGAGTTAGTCTGTAATCATTTTAAACAAGTTAGCCGGGGTTAGAGCAGTTTTATTTCGAACATTCGCCCAATAAAAATGTTATCATAGATCATTAGGCTGTAAAAACTTAGATTTTGGTATATAGTTTTAGGTTTAGTTTGCTAAAGTGAAACTATTAAATACACATGTTCTCCATTTTCTTGTTTTTTAAACCATTAAAATATTACAATTGATTTTAATTCTAAAAAAATTAATCAATTACTAAAAACAAACCTTAACCATTGGTATTTTCCTGCAGGCTCTTACTTACTTATGTGTACAATAATACTCTTATAGTAAATGCCACTATTTCGGTAGTAATTATTATTTATTTAACTGATTTTTATGTACCTGAAAAATATATTTAACGAACCAAAGTATTTAAATAATAAATACACTTTTAATACGCCTCTTGTTATCTTCTTTAACATAAAAATCATAATTAAGTACTGACACTAATTGTTAATTACCATGAATAATTATTTTAATAATTTGGATTAATTACATAGTATTAAGTAAATTTCACTATTAATCATGCTTCTATTGCCATTTCTCAGGCATTGCAAATTTCGATATAATTAAGTTGTTGAAACAGATTTGCCACGGCAGCCAGGAAAACAATCAACAACTCGTTTAAATTAATACAAAAGGTTTGGTTTTTTCTTGGATTTTTGCAGTTGAGATGAATGACACTAAATAAACAGAGATATGTAAATATTGATGACGAAGATAGGCGACGAGGTTACAAATACAAAACCGACTCCAAATGCACTTTTGTCTCTTTGGCTTTGTGACTTGTTTTATTGTCCGAAACTTGAGCTATCAAATGGAAATTGAAAATTGTAAATTCGGGGACTGGAGTATTTCGCATCTGTCTTGGATTGGGCTCTGGCCCAAGGTCTAGGTCTTTGTGTCCATTCGATTGGGCGTAGATATATATTGGGCGATATATTGTCAGCTCTAAATGTGCCAAAATTATGCGCGTTGCTCGTATTTTGGATTTGGAGTCGATCTGAGTTTGGATCTGGTCAGCAAAGTGAAGGTAAATCACCTGTTAAAATCGAAAGTGTGGGACAATTGGACATGCCCAGCTTCCAGCGGAAATTAGTTGTCATAACATAGAGCATAAAATGGATGCATTCGAAATGAGATCAGATAGGGCCTTATATGGCTAATTGGAGGCCCTATTATTGCGGAGTGAATGTAACCGGGATTACATCAAAAACGAAGGCTCTTGATTTCCTCTTCAATTTGTCAGGCCTTTCGAATTGAGGAAGTTTGATTTATTTGTTCCACCCACTCGCTTTTATACTCTTATTCGTTGGTTAATATTTAGAAAGCGAAACTTTGTAGAATTACGTTGAAAATAGGTTAAGATTCAAATTAATTTTAAGGTAGATTAGACATTTAAAGCCTAACAATAAACCCTTATAATTAAATGTTATAATTAATTGTAAACTATAATAAAATCTTTATACTGAAACCTTTGACAAACTGCATTGCAAGGGTAGGCTTGCCAAAGTTAGCTTCCATTCTTGTAATCATTTAATATAGTAATTGTAGTAAATTACTTTCTCTGCCCCTCTCTCTCTCTCTAAATCTCTATATGTAGATTATTATTCTCTCCTTGTCTCTCTATTACTCTGCCTCTCCCTCACTCTCACTGCTAAACTCAATATTTCCCGGTGTGCCATCTCTTTCTTTGTCTCTGTAGAAATATCCCTCTCTCACTCTCTCTGCATATCTCAAGAGATAGCTCTTTCCCTCTCGCCTACACTTTCTCTGTTATTCTCTTCTCGGCGACTATAAATACAGGAGCTGCCATCGCTCTGACCTCATTCTGTTCCCGGCCTCCCCACTGTGTGCATCAAAAGTGAAAGTGATAGTGCTTGCTCTTCGACCCCAAAAATATTATCGGACATCTGGATAACCAGGAAGAAGCTTATTTCGATGATAAAAATTGATAACCGTATGTCCCCAATTGCGGTAAGTCTTAAGCATGACATGACTATCATCTATATACATAGATGCTATAGGAGGTACCAAGCCTGGACCCCATTACTTAATTTTAATTTAAATTAATGCAGTAAACTCTAAATTAACAGACTTAAAACTAAAAAACTAGCATAGAAAAGTTATCCGACTTGAAATAAATCAATTTTTGGCTTAGTTGTGATATTTATAAAACTTTAATGTAGTCCAAAAATTAGCATGTTAAAATATCTATTTGTTACTTATATTATTACTTTCTTTGGAGGTAAACAGAGGTCAAAACCCAATAATTCCTAAAGGTCATATATTTTCCTATATCTTAAATAAATAAAAAATAAAATAAACTAACAAATAAAACAAATTCAAAAATACTATTTATTTATTTATTTTTTTATTGAAACCCTTCACAGACAAAATATATGTATTTTGCAAGAGTTTGTTGCATTTAAGAGACTGCATCTCATTAACTAGGGGGGAATTCTGTCCACAAATCAAAAAGCCAACAAGCCAAGGGCACAGGCCAAGATGATAAGTTAGCCCACATTTCTAACGGATTGTTGTTATCTCTTGGCAGCCAAAAATCATAAAGTTTTTTGGGGGATCGCCGGCGAGCCAAGAAACTGGTTTCTCACTTTCTCACGCCAATTTCGTGGGCCGTGACGAGAAAGAAAGAAAAAAAGCACTAAGTATAAACAGTGAAATGAAACTGAAACTTTGTTTGAATAATTTGTTTATGTGAGGGCATTAAAGATGCAAAGATGTGTCAGAGAAATATACGATAAATTTCCGCTTGAAATGCGAAACCGAAATTACTTTGTCATTAATTAATAGATCCCAAAATGCATTGGGATGAAAGTATCATCCAAGCCAACTAAGAAATCATAGTAATAATATTCAAATTGAAATGGAATCCGACCAAAAAGGGGGGCTACCTGGTGATTAATGTGCGTCATGTATTGCCGCACTTTGCATATTTTATGCAAATCGAACGAGTTGCAAAAAGGCAAAGAGCACTCGCTGCACAGATTAGCCAAAAACATAAAAGTGAATGTTGACGCGGGACACAAATTATGATTTGCGTAACAAAAGTATTTCAATAATTTATTAATTCACACCATGAGAGATTTTGACATTGGCCCATTGTCTGCTTCTATGAGCTGAATCTGAGTTCATCTGAGTTCCGAAACCGAATCCGTGTCCAAAATTATGGGGCGATAAATGCCGCTGCGAGGCCTATCCAACCTATCCAACCAGCCTAGTATTTCGAACATAATAAATGCATTTTTAATTATTGCCCCAAAAATGATTCAACAATTAATTGGGGGACACCTAGGGACGACACACGTTTGATTTAATAACCAGGTGGAACGATTTGGGTTTTAAGCTGACTGTTTTTACACAGATTCGTCCCACGAAATATTGACAAATGATTGAGGATCAGAGTTCAATACAAGTTAAGAGGTGGCTTTTAAACTTCGAGGGGAACGAACATGCCAAACATTTGATAAATGCTTCCGAAAACAAGAAAGGAACCCAACTTCGACAAGCCGAAGTTTGTATACACTTGCAGACTGAAATTCGAGCACTAGGAATTATTACAATATAAATTATATAAGTAATGCCTGCTTTCATTTCATTCACCATTTTGCACTTTTCTCTATTTTTAAGATATGGCAGCTATATGATATAGTAGTAAAATTTTCATAAAATTGTATACAAAATTATAAATAATATATATTAGCTATAATATATAAAAAAAATAATGGTAAAAATCTGTTGAAAACTAGAAAAGTTATACCTTTTCTTACAATTTTCCGATTGTTCCTATGGCAGCAATATATATGTATCTATAAATATAATCCACCGATTCGCCATGCTCCGACTTATGTACTAGTAAAATTATATAATTCTGACATCCCCGGAACGAAGTGACCGCTGCCGGCCAAGTCTCAGAAATGCGTTGTGGTACAAAAGTTGCAAGTCATTGTTTATTAGTGTTCAAAGTTAATAACTCATCATACATACTGGTCATAGATACTTACTGATCATAGTTACTTGCTGCTCAAAGTTACTTGCTGATTAAAGTTAAATTAAATATCAGCTCGCTGCTGCTCTCTGCCTCTCCCCCACTCTCGCTATGTTAATCGCTCTATGTTAATCTCTAGAGGCAACAGCTTCTCTCCCACGCACTCACATTCTCTTCTCTGCTCTGCTCTGCTCTGCTCTGCTCTGCTCTGCGCTGCTCTGCCTGCTCTTCTCTGCTCTGCTCTGCTCTGCTCTGCTCTTCTCTGCTCTGCTCGCGAACTATAAATAGAAGCGCTGAGGGCCCGCGCGCCTCAGTCTGTCCTAGGGGTACCTAGTGTTAACATCTCAAGTGATAGTGCAAGTGATCAGCCTTCGGCCTAAAAAATATGACGTGGCCAATGCAATACATCTAGATGACTAGGAAGAAGCTCCCTTTGGATGGAATCAGCATTCTTGGTCGCAACACTGGAAGGAAGTAAACAATGACGTGTCCTCTACTGCGGTAAGTCTTAACCATGAAATTTATATTATATATAAATAAGATATTGGTGGAATCAATTCCAACTTCCCAATTTAATTCCTTATTGTCATGTTCCTCTTTACATTCTTACTGGTCATAGCTACTTACTGTTGAAAGTTACTTAATGGTCATAGATACTTACTGCTCATAATTACTTAATGGTCATAGATACTTTCTGTTCAGAGTTACTTACTGCTCATAGATACTTACTGTTCAGAGTTACTTACTGCTCATAGTTACTTAATGATCATTGTTAACTACTGATCATGGTTCTATAAATCGTCCGATAGCTCCTATGTCAGCTATATATATGTTTATATAGTCCACCGATTCGCCATGCTCCGACTTATACATATAGTAGTAAAATTATATAGAAGAATATCCACAAGTCATTGTTTATTATGGTTCAAAGTTAGTAACTGATTATAAGTACTTACTGGGCATAGATACTTGCTGATCATAGGTACTTACTGATCATAGTTACTTACTGAACATAATTACTTACTGATCATAGTTACTTACTGGTTATAGATACTTACTGTTCAGAGTTACTTACTACTCATAGTTACTTACTGCTTATAGTTATTATAGTTAACCACTGATCTAAGTTACTTGTGCTAATAAAATATTACTCTTTAGTTATTTACATGCTTTCATACTTTGAATATCACAAAATTAGACTAATATTGTGGTTGAGAGCCACCACTGAAAAAATAAATTTGCTTAAAAGTAGGCACCAAGAAACTACAAATCAACAAAGTAAATTATTCAATTAATTCTTATTGTAGGTTTTTTCTAGATAGAACTTGTATGTAAATTAAAGTTGTACTTGTGGCAAAATGATGTTTGTATTTAATTTATTATTTTTCATTAAGTAAGTACTACTATCAGCGGTCACTTTGCTATTACGTATACGCCCCGTGGAGTCATATCCATTTTTAAAATCTGCGACCAGTTACAGGAAGAACTTTTGGTTCGCAATTGTAAAAGTCAGGATCAATGACAGGGGCACCGAGAGTCTCGCTAATTCTGGTGCCTCTGAGACCAGGAATACTTTTCGGTCCCCCTTTGTCTGCAACTCCCTGTAATTGCTGCGCAATTGCATTCCCGGCCTATATTCGATCTCCTTGAACTTTGTCAACTGCTGCAGGCTCACAGGTAAGGTCTCCGTCAGTACGATCCAGGTGACGGCCTCGGAGCAGCCCGGGGTGGTCAGGGAACCGGCGTAGCTGTAATAGCTTTTTAAACTAGGCACAAGATAATCCAAAACTAAGGGCTCCTCCATCTTAACGGGCTGGTCTATCATGTCGTAGCCCTTCACAGCCTTCAGGATTCTGGTGACGGCCCCAAGTAGTTCATTCTCTACGTGGGACTCGTGAAAAAGCACTCCAATCACGGCAACACCATCCTCAAACATGGTAGCCGTCTTTATATTTGGGTAGATGGGGTTCCTGTGAACGAAATGCATTTCCAGCGGATACCGAATGCCATTGATAGTGTGCTCCGATTCCCAGTGCATGTGGATTTGCTCCAATACATATTCGTTCTTCAGGATACCACCGCTAAGGGTTAAGTTCGATTTGAAGCCAGACACTTGAACTGGACGTAAAAATAAATTAATTTTAGCAGAGTTACAAACTTTAAGAGGCTAACTTGTGTGTCCATTGTTGACCATGGTAAGATTCTCTTGGGTCTTTTCGTAATTATGCAGTATGAGGCGATCTAAGTTTACCTTCTTGGACTCTTGGTCATTCAGATCAATGGGACTTTGCTGCTTACCCTCATCGCAAAGACCGCCCCATTTGGGAAAGCCTGAATATATATAAATATTTTAATTTTTAATAAATAAACATTACTTTTACTACTTACTGGGATAGCTCCAATCAGCTGCCCGGCCTAAAGCCCAAAAGCAGCTGACTACAAGGGAAAAGAAATAAATGGTAACAGATAATCATAGACAATGTTTTTCATGGCTCAGGCTCCTTGGCTCACTCTTGTTACTTTCCGGACAGATGAAGTCCTTGTTAAGAATATTCGCTTATCTCTCGTTTCAGTGTAAAAACCAATATTTATTGCCAAGTCTTACACTTTCCAATACAAATCGGATTTCAACAGCATTTTGTAATTCTTTCTCATTAAAAGAAGTTACAAGTGCCGAGAAAACCGATTGTCTTTAATGACAGGACTATCTAGGAGTTACCATTTTAAGACGAGAAAATATGAGTCCGGAAAGTCAGATAAGTAAGAAAAGGCCACCCAAAGAACCTTCCAATGATTTGGTTTTATGGAATATTATTGCTTAACATTTACCTATTAGGAAGAAGGTATTAATCATCGAAATGTATAAAATAAGTGTAACCGCTATAGCATTGCACTAAAAATTTTTCAATTAAATAAAATGTTAAATGTTTTTTTGCCCTAACAATTTTGTCTGTCCAAAAGTAAAACTATAATAAATCAAATCAGACACATTCATTTCATGGCTTATTTGATCCGTTTTTCTTGATTATATTTAGACATATATATGTACATACTTTTACTAATTTAATTTATTACTTATATTTCAATAACAACAAATAAAAATTAAATAATAATAATAATAATTAAAATTAAATTACTTTATGAACTCTCTTTAAGCTTTAATGTCGAGCTGGAACCTCTGTTTTTTAGAAAAGCCCACACTTGTTATTATATTTCAATTATTTAAAATATTTAAACTGCAATCTATCTTTTATATTATTTATATTTTCTCAAATATTTACATGTCAGCTGGGCTATAAAGTGTAATGCGGAATTCCAGTTTACTCTTATAATAAATAAGGAAAAAAACATATTTTCATGTTTTACAATGCAATCTTTCCCAAAAATAGACTTAAAATTAAGTTGATAGCAATCAATAGAAATTTAAATATGCCTAAAAGTAGGCATCAAAAGTTTAATAATTAACTTCTCAAATTTTTCATTTAATTATAGTTGGCTTTTTAGTTTGAATTTTGAAGATTTGTTTGTTACTTGCCATACAGAATTTTTCTAAATATATTTATATCTTTTATAAATTATGAATTTAGAGAAACTTGCAATGCAATATTGCAAATTTTATTAAGGTTAGAACAACTTGAAGTTAATTTATAGTATAATTAATATCATGATCAAAGTACCTTTGACCATTCAACATGTACATGTATATTCTTTCTAGGTACAAAATAGTACAAATTTAGATACATAGAACCCTAATTTTTATTCTCATTTTCCCTTGGCCTTGCCCTTTGACTAATTGCCAACTATTTGTCTCTCCTTCAGATAAGATAATTCTTCAATCCTCTACATATATAGTTTCTATATAATTAGTTTGCTTTGCTGTCCCCATCAATAAAACTAGTGGACACGCGCTGCAATCGCCATTTGGGATTGAGTGTCATTTCACAATGAACAATGATGATTAAGTGTGTTCAGTGGTAATAAGCGAAATCAAATTGCACGGTCCGGTTGATTTATTTAGGGTCCATCCAATATCAATTAGCGTTGTTATCAGGCAGCGCAATTGGTCAGTTGACGCTGGCAGTTATCAGTGATTTCTGAATACTATTCGGTTATAAATTCTTTTTATTCGAGGAATCACACTGACCAACAAGAGTCATAAAAGATATTTACTGGGGTCTTGTGATAAAATATGCAGAGGAACAAAATGGTTCATCGGCTATTTTTGGCATACCGATACCGATACGTACCTTTATTTAGTGTGAACTTTCAACGGAATTCAGGTGACCAACTGGAAGCGGTCACTTTCATGTTACGCATACGCCCCGTGGAGTCATATTAACCAGATACGAGAGGCTTGTAAAATATTTCATTTATTATTCTGTGAACTTTGCACATGATGAACTTCACACAAAACTGACTAGCTGGATTCTTGTTCTGTTCTGAATTACAAAATAATGAGTATAAATTGTCTCCTGTAACGCTCCTTCTCCTGTTTTCATTTCCATCATTTGTTGTTAACAAATTCGTTGTATTTAACAATTCTTTGGTACGAGTATATGTCATTGGCTGCTGCTCTCTCTTGTTGTGCTCCCCTAACTGAATCTACAGCAGGAACTTCTGGCCGCCCATCAGGACGAGCGTAAGGATCAAGGATACAGAGGCCGTGAGTCCCGCTGCTCCTGATCGATCCACAGGCATTTCCACCAGCACCACCGCTCGGTTGTTCTCGCTCTGCAACTCCCGGTAGTTGTTATGCAGCTGCTTTCCCTCATCGTACTCGATCTCCTTGAACTCATTCACCTGATCCAAGGTAACCGGGAATGTCTCCGTCAGCACAATCCAGGTGACAGCCTCGGCACAGGTGGGTGTGGTCAGGGAGCCGGCATAGGTGAAGTAACTCTCCACACTGGGCACCAGGTCATCCACTGCCAGAGAGTCCGCCACCAAAACGGGCTTGTTCATGCTGTCATACGCCTTCACTGCTCCCAGACTCTTGATGATGCTTCCAATGGCCTCGTTCCTTGTGTTGGACACATGGTAGAGCACTCCCATCACCACAATGCCATCCTTAAAGTTGGCAGCCATCGTCATATTTGGATAGATCGTATTCCTGTGGACAATATGCACCTCCAGGGGATAGCGAATGTCATTGATGGTGTGCTCTGACCACCAGTGCATGTGGATCTGCTCCACCACATAGTCATGGAGCAGGGCACCGCCACTCAGGGTCAGCTCGTGATCAAAACCAGACAATTGAACTGGATAGGAAAATAATTGAATTATTTTAGATATTAAGTTGTCTTGTGTGTGTGGAAAAACTCACTTGAGTGCCCGTTGTTGACCATTTTCAAATTCTTCTGGTGCTCGTCATAGTTCTCAAACTTCAGAGGATCGAATTCACCCTTCAGGGATCCCTTGACATGCAGATTAATGGGGCTTTGCTTCTTGCCACTATCGCAAAGACCGCCCCATTTGGGAAATGCTGAAAATATAGAAAAATCAATCATTAAATAAAGCCAGGAATGGAGGAATTTTAAATATATTTATACACTTTATGGCTCAATTAATTTCCATATCCCAAATTATGATGTGAATGTGAATGCCCGCCCATCAATCATATTTAATTTTAGATTGATATTTTGACTGATTGATATTTTGACAGAATTTTAAACCAAACACAAGCTGTGGTTTTATCCAAAATGAAACTGAACATATTACATTTATAAAGATAATTAAATAATAATTTTAGTCAAAATTGCATCTCAAATGCTTACTTTCCCATATAAAATTCTTTCTAAAAATACAAATTTGATATCAATTCTTCCCCTTTTTGCTTTAACTAATTGTTAATAATTTCTAGTTTCTGCACAAGCAAAATTTTTATTTGAAATTAAACGATCATAAATCAAACTTTATATACAATTGAAAGCAATTTCCATGGTCAATTAAAAACTCTATACCGAAGTTCGCTCTCTTTTTTCGCGGAATTTTGCAAATGTCCAAATTTATCATTATTCATGTTCAATTTGCATACACAACAATTTGAAGCAATTTAGCTAAGCGCTGCCCAGTGCCCGACCCAAGTCCGGAGCGTGCCCACCGCTCTGAGAATGGATGGATATATCCGAACCCGACAGAGTGACCCACTCCCGGCGACAATGGAGGCGTTGATTAACTAATTTTAGTAAATAAACTCGAATTGGCTCTACTTACGCTCATCCTGGTTGTTGTCCAAGTCCGGGTAGCCCCACTCATTGGCCCAGCTCAGTGTCAGGGAGCAGCAGGCTGAAACAGAATCACAGATAAGTATATCAAGTATACGCCGTGTGGGGCACAGTTTAATGTGATGCCTATTTATATATATAAATGTAAAACGTGTGTAAACTTCAACTTGACACAGAAAATTGCACACTCAGGGACAAACACACATTACACACTAAAAACTGCAGTTGATGGCGGGGCCATAAAATCAGAAAATGACAGAGGGTCAATCTATACAACAATTTTTTGGCAGCGTCAACAACAGTCGCCGAGCACCTTGCACTTGACTTGGCTAAAAATAAACCCCAAAAATTTATGATTTCCACTGAGATATATGTACATATCAAGCGAATATAAGTGCGGCATACATAAATGTTTCATTAACCCGCAAAAGAAATTGGACTGATCTTATGTATATATAACGAACTTTCTCTTGCCCCACCTGCTGCTCCTACCTCAAAACAGACTTTTGGCTAAAAGCCTTTTGACATCTGCACATCAAAATATCAACTAAATTTGAATTTTATGAATGCGGCTGCTTTTTGCTCAGCACATTTTTACGATCCATTTTGGTATTTAAAAAACACTAGCCACTAGATCGGGTGTTTATTAAGCCATTTTGCAACATTAATGGGTTAATAAAAGAGTCCGCAAACAAGTGTGAATATTTATGCACGGTCCTTAATCTTTGGAATTTATTTATGCTTTCATTTTTGGCATATTTGCAAAAGAGACAAATGACGACAACAGCTGGTGTACTAAATATGTATATTAGAAATAATAATATATAGTTCATTTTGCCGGGGGAAAACGTGTGCTCCTATTTATAATCTTCGACTGCCCTGTGACGTAACAGATTTAGGAGGGAACAGGCTTTGAGTTATGGCATTAGTTAATAAGACATAATGTTTCAATTTGTTCTGGATTTTAATGGATAATAATTCATATAGTACTGCGATCCTATTCATTTCTTATTAAATCTTCGAGCACTTGTGCTGCCTTTTAATTAATAAACGATCGGAAGATCGTGAGTGCTTCTGCGATTTACTTAAAACTGATTAGATAATGAAATTTCCGTCAGAGACCAAATTAAAAGAAAATACTTGATCGCAATGAGATCTCTTTAATATATATTCTTCTCTGACTACGGAAACATGCAACAAATGTCGGGCAACGATTTAAAGTGCAATTAACTTGGCACATGCAAAGTTGGGACAATTAAATTTGAGTACCCAAAGCTTTGATAGCTGATAATGACGGAATGAATTCTGTAATTCGAGGGAACCCCTTCTGGGGGTGTAAAAGTTAACAAAACTGGTAATTGCCACTGGAGAGATAATCATGTGAAAATATCACGTAAAATAAACAGATGCAAAAATGCACTTGACTACATTTTTGCCTTTTATTCCCGCTCTTGAGAGTGCTAATGGAATTTTCTGCATTGTGTTTAGCAATGTTCCACTTGTCAAAGTGAATTTCTGTTATTTCAGTTTAAATTATTTTAACCATGTCAGCAGAATAGAATTGGAATGAATTCGCTGTCTCAGCACCGGCGATAAAGACCCGGCAACGACGACTGTTCGTTTGGCTTTTTCGCCAAATCACGACAGTATTGAGATCCCCCCAATCGTTCTTTCAGACTTTTAGAGCACTCAGTGATTTTCCAGTCTGCAAAAACTTTATTTACATTTTACTGAGCGCAATAATCAAAGATATCTTCCACCGATAAACCGATTTCGGGAGTGCGCACGATTTAATGTCCCCCGGCTTTTGTCTCAACTTATTTTTTGGGGGCTTGTTGGAGAGCCTCTGATAAGCTGCGATGCCCCATAAACACACCCCAGGTCATGTGAATGGCGACAATGAAAGTTCATTGGCATTATCAATCGCTTAAATAAATATGCAGTGATATATTTTTCAATTGAAAGTGTAAATGTTCATAAAATAAATAAGGGAAGTATTAATTACTTAACGATAGGGAATCACAAATATATTAGAGGCAGAAATCTCTAGGGGGTTTTAAGAAAGTCCACAAAGGTGTCCAACGATAGGGAATTTGGTACTTTTAAATACTTCTAACATATTTTAAAAGGTTTAAAAACCCATAAATATTAAGGATTTCGATTTTTTTAATACAAACTTTAAATTGAGACAGAAAACATATCATGTTTAAAGAGAAATAAAATTTAGTTTGCTATAATTTGTAATATAATAAAATCTACAATAAATAAGAAAAAACCCTCCCAATTCAAAGTTCTTTGTAAGAAAAGCGTGCCTAGTTCAGATATCTCTATTCTCACAGAATTTATCTAATCTGTTGACTGGTGACTGTGGAACATAATTCACTTAGCTGGCATAATCAGACCGAAAGCTATCTAGACTTTGGTTTTTTCTTAATTGCCTCAACATTCTGACGTTTGTCTATTATGGTCATCATAAAATTCTATGATAGGATTGCTTTAGGGTCTGGGATTGCATTGCAAATCGATTGATAGAGGGGGGAAGTGGGTTAAAAACTTTCCATCATCAAGCTAATCGAGTTTATGGACTTTGGAGTAGCGATGCTAACTGAGGAGTGCAAATGGAGGTTGATAAACGCTTTGGAAGCAAACTGAAGAGGAAAAGGCAGAGATAATACGAGGCCGAGCAGATAGCACAGAAGGTCTCTTTGGTGAACAAAAGGCTGGTCGTTGTAATATATAAATAGGAAGTGCGATATGCAATTTCACTTTCCCTGAACAACAAGTGGAGCCAAAGCTCAACGGGAAGCTCAACGCTTCAATGGATCGCCATGATGATGAATGGAGACTGCAAAAAGAGGTGTGTTTTGTCCACCAATTGCTTGTTCCAGCAGCTATCTGTAAGAGTTTAATCAATTGGAACACCGTTTCAAGCAGAAGCCATTGCGGTATAAATGTTTACGACCCACCAAAAAAAAAAAACTGTTGTAAAATCGATTAGGTTGTACATTTTTACTATAATTTATATAGCTTCTGTTTAAATCTTTATCTCTCGCTGTTCTTCTTTACATTTTAAACTCAAAGAACCCTAATGAATTAATCGCTTACTTTACCATTTTGCAGTTCATGTTTAAGCAATATATTTTAAACAAAAATAGCTGACACCTGCCAATAAAAAATAGTATATTAAGGACAGTTAATCTAATTTTGATAACTGAATCGAACAAGCCTGCCGTTTAACAAAAATAAAGAACATATAGACGTATGTCTTATCTTGAAATACAGATAATTATGTCTCTCCAAACCCATTTAAAAAAAGTAAAAATATAATACAATTCGTTAAAGAAAAAAGGAGTTTAAGCTAAACCTATCTGCAAAATCCCACGTCAATCGGCTGTCATATATCTCGTGGGTAGAAATCGCAGCTAATCTGTGTGCTAGCTACCTGAAAAAGAAACGAAATGTGATAAGAAATTGCCTGGCAATGGCGCCTCGCCATTAAAACCGATTAGGCTTAATCGAATCTCGCACAGGATCCATAAAAGTGGCGTATTTAATAGGCAGTTAATCGTTTAATATGCCTTACTTGTTTGGACGTTCCCTAATCGTTTATGGGATCTAATCGGTGATTTGTCAAGCACCATCTGAGCCCCATAATTACTTATGATTATAATCTTGATTAGGTCAGCAGTTTTTCCAGTTTCAACTCAAACCCAAACCCCGAATTCTATTCCCTCGGCATGACCAGATACTTAGCTTCTGCTGACCTTATCACTCTGTCTGCCCGCACTCTATGTACGATGATGAGTCGGTCGATCGACTGTATCTGTATCTGTATCTTGGACGAATTAAGTGGGTATTTTCCAAATGCCCCACAAAGTCAACAAGACAAGACGACAAGGCAATAGGTTGTCTTTCACCACAGATATCTGTTCGAGGCGCGTGATCCATGTCCAAAGTCTACTGAAAGTACTCAGGAGTACCCCAAAGTGACGGCACAGGTTTAGATTTTAGATATGTCCTCACCATATGCGCTGCGATTTCTTAATTAGAAATGGAAGAAACCTTTATTACCTGCAAAAATTCCCTGATTTTATGATGGTTACATGAGGTTTTATGACCACTCAGGCTGAATCAAAAGGCATATCGTTAAAATATTGTATAAATCCTAAAGTATCTGTGTGTTTGGCTTACTAAATATATTAGGATTGAAGGTCTTAGTAGGTTATAAATCTATTGACTTAATGGGATTTTATGGTATCAAATTGCTTTGCCATTAAAATACATATTCTTTGCAAATATTCAATATTTTATGACAGGTTTAGCTGATTAAATTTTAATTATATTTTTTATAATTTCACTGTCCCTAAATCTTTAATATATTTAAGATCTTTTATTTACCATATTATATAAAATTCCCAGTTTCTATGAACTTGAACTAGATTTTCTTTTCCTGAGAGAATCTCCAACAGGATGAGGCCAATTGACATGTAGAAAATAACGCCCGTGCCGCCTATGCAAATAGGAACCCTGATCCAAATTCATCTGGACATTACTCAAAGCCCAACTATCCGCACACTTCCGATGGCAATCATCGCAACCCCTGGGATCTGGGATGCCGAACCCATCCATCCTCCCATTGTGATTCATACATATCTATCTATACCGGCCTTGTAATTTCCGATCCCAGAGAGTTGTGCGGATTATCATTAGTACATTGTCTCTGGCATCTTATCAATTAAAGCAATTCCCCTTTGAATAATTACGAAAAAACGTAAACAGAGGCGACAATTAGAATGTGGATGAATGTGTAACTATTTGGCGTGGGATTCGGGGCCCTAAACGTGACTTTCGAAATAAATACGGCTATGCGGATGAGTCCGATAAGTCCGATAAGTGGCGATAAGTACAAGAATCCAATTAATGGTACTATTGCCACCGATATTTGAGTCAGTTTGAGTTTGTTTGTTATAAATTTTATGGAGTTAGTGATTCATGCCGAATACTTTGAATACTTTGATTGATTTTTGGGGTCGAGTTGAATGAGTCAGAGACACAGGTGGATATGTAATATAATTGATAAACATTTACCTATCAAGGAAAAGGTAATAAAATGCATGTTAACGATGTCTATTTTGTTTTTAAATATTTTTTTTTAGAAAAACTTTTAGCAGTTTTAACACTCGGTTGCACTGTAAACTATTCACTATTTGCTACTATTTTATAGATATTTTAATAATTTTTTTCTTTTAGAAGCTGCTGCTGCTTGGCAGGACGCGGAACCGTTGCGGTCTCGGACTGAACTCCATCGGTTTGGAGCGCGGCACGCTTCTTTTATAACGGAACCTCGGGGTACCTCGGGGAACCAAGAACGGAACGGAGAACCCGCGGCGGAGAACGTCAGGGCACAGAATGATTACTGAAAAGCGGTGCGAGCATCGGCCGAATGTACAGGCACACCGATACACACAACCGCATCGCACCGCACACACCCAAGCAACACACACACACACACTTTGGCACAATTGAACCGAATTATGGCAACACTACACTCAGGTTTATATGCTGCTGCTGCTGCTCGGTCTATCTTTCTTTTTGGGTATTCCGCTTTTCCGTTTTCCTCTCTCATCTACCAGAGATTTGCATCCCAAATGCAGCGCAGATTAAACCGCAAAAAAAAGGAGAAAGAAAGTCATAAAGAAAGAGCTCTCGCCGACGGTGGAAAACTGCACTTGCCGAGGTGAGCAGCTCTGCCGGCGTTGCGGCTTAGAAGCTGATTAATTGATAAGCAGGCAGCGAGCAGAGAAATTGCTAAACGAACGGTAATTGGCAGCTGAGAGAGAGAGAGAGCGCGCGAGCCGGCACACGACTCTCACGCCCACACATGCATGTGTGCACTAAGAGAAATATTTTAATAAAATTATATGCATTTCCTTAAAACGATATTTTTATGGAACATTATTTCTGACAAATCGAAGTTAAAAAAGCCTCATAACTAAGACAAAAAAGCATTAATTTTATTTTGGAAAGCTTTTTAGTTTTAATAAGGTTAATTAAACTGCATACTCAATTTACAATTTCGGATACTTAACATTTCGTATCAATTTTTGAGAAATTTAACGATGTAACCCCTTATAAAATTTAAAAAAAAATGGTAAAAATTTGTTTTCTGTCTGAGGTGGCTAGATCGACTCGGTTTGATGCTGATCAATAATATATATGATTTATAGGGTCGGAAATGACTCCTTCACTGCTTTATAAGCTTTTGACTGAAAGTATAGTACCCTTTAAGGGTATAAAAATATATGGAATAATTTTTCTAAAAAAAATATATATATTTTTAAAGACTATTTAAAATAAGACCCTCAAATTAATATTTGATATTTTTACTATTAAACTGCTCCTGAAACTATAGGATAAATAAAGATCTTTTAAATATTTTGTATGAAAAATGCCTACATCTGGAATAAACCCATTTAAAAAAATACCTGAAATACTTTAATATAATGTAAAACCTCTGCAGTCAGTAGAGTTTTTTTTTTGCAGTACATGAAAAGAAAAAGGAAAGAGAGAGAGGGACACGCAGGAAGTGACGTATTTATCAAGATCGAGATTGTCACATTTTGGCAAATAAATTTCACTTGATCCGCTGCCGCCTGTCGGCCTGGCCTGCCATTTGGTTAAAATTAGATCGGAATTAATTTACTTACTTTTTACAGCCCCGAAAGTGACCAATTGTTGCACCCACGAACAGCAAAATGCAATTCGCCGAGAGACAAATAAATGCTAATTGAGCGGGACAAATTTGAGGGAGCGAGCGAGAGCAGGAGGCTGTCGTCGCAAATGCTTCGGCCTTTGTTTTCCATTGCGACGTCATTAAATTGCAGTTAATGTGGCAAAAGGCGCAACAAAAGTCAATGTCAAACGGCAGCTGCTCTCGTTTTTCCCCAGGTAACGAGGCCGAGGGGTGGACAGAGGGAAAGTGGAAAGTTACCAAGGTGCGTGCGTTGCGGTGCGCGGGAAAAATCAAAGCGCATTTCCGCAACAAATCGCCGCTTGACGGCAATTACCATCAACACGAGCGGTGATTTGTGACTATCGAATGAGAATCTTTCTCTCTATTTGATACCCTGTAGCCCAGCTGGCAGTTTACGACTGTTTAATAGAGTCGTTATCTATTTATCTAACGGAAAATGGCTGAGAAAACACCAGTTCGCGCTTTGTTGCAGTTACAGAAACATGTGGTTTTCCACCAGATAAAAAAAGACTTAATGGCCCCCTTTTAGCCATGACATTGTTGCAATTTGTTTTCATATTTTCGCTGAATAAATAACTAAATAGCGTGTTAGTCTTAAACCTAGGAATTTTATCAGTTTTAGTTTGTTTACTAGTTATTAAATCAAAATTATTGTTTAGAGAACTATGTTAAATTTATAATAGAACAAATTTTTAATTTATGTGTTTAAATTTTATTGGTAAGAGTTTCAAAGTACTTCTTTATTACCTTTTATTAGTATCTATGTACTTTTCCTTATTAAATTAAGAAACTATTGAAAGAAATGGTAGAAATATAACATAAAAGTTTTTATATAGTTTTCCCAGGATTGTTTTATTTATATTTTAAATGTACAACAATTAACCTATACGTTTTTATAATTTCAAAACATTACAACTTCTTTAAAGTCAGAAAATCCTTAAGTTTTTCAAAGGATTATATAAATAATCAACAGATTTGACAAAAATAAATATTGTATGACTTTTGCCGGAACCTAATCCATATCTAACACCTTAATCCTTCCTCGCTGTGTTCCAAATATCTTTAAAAACTAATGACATCAAATCAAAATAATGAGGTTAAAAATAGAATGCGCTTGCACCTTTTACCGCTTTATCAGCTAGCTGAAATCAACGTGGCCGCCGTGGGAATGTGTTGACGAATGAATGCATTTCATGAATGACAAAATAAAGAAAAGCAAATTCGACTAGCGTGTTGACAAAAGGCGCTCGGCAAACGTCACGCGATTTTCCCGATGGCGGTGGCAATCAAGCTGGAAGAAATGGCAAATAAAACACCGCACATGTGACAAATTGCGCGCACTGGTGACCCCAATAAAGGCGCTGTAATTACACGGAGACACAATTACATTAGTCGATGGGGTTAACGGGCATCGGTGTCGGGCCGCGGCGTGGCTGCAATTCTGCAAATTAAAATCCAATCGAATCAATTGAGAAAGCAAATAGCGAGAAACATGTGATTGGAGGCAAGCAATTCAATTAATTTGTCAGTCGCTGGCAGCGTTATGAGCATTCAATCGGGAAAAGCCATTCAAATTCATCAACTCAAATGGTCTTATCAATTCGCGAGAAATTCAAAAAGTAACAGACTTTGGCGCCCCGTAGGCTATAACCCATCAATTACCATACTCTGGCAACCCCCGGTATCTTGAAAGTTGGCAGTGCAGCCAGACCATTTCCTGAAGCATTTCACTTTTTTCGGTCAAGTTTCTTTTTAGCAGTCTCACGATATAAATCTCGATTCATCATAGAAATAAAGCTAATTTTTAAAAATAGATTTTATTCTCGTGTCAAAAGTCTACAGAAGCTAGCAAAAAATCCGCTACAATTGTATTCAATACACAGGCAATACTTCGCTGAGAATATCGCTGCCAGGCCGAAAGCTGTTGCAAACTACAGGTGATTCATAAATTGTATTCAATATTAAATATTATGTTATTATTTCTTTGATAAAATACCATTTGGAAATTTGTTTGGCCGATTTTGCTAAGTTTCTTGCCGTATTGAAGATGCCAGACAGTCTCTCAAAATATTAACGGCTTTTGAAGTTTTCGCTTCTCATCTCATATTTACGATTCTTTTCTAAGAAAATGTCTTTCCAAGCCTCTCGTACTAACGAAAATTGATAGAAAACATCGTTTTTCACCTCTATTTTCCATTTCCTTTTGCCGATTTTCTTGAAAACCCGTTTGTTGGTATATTTCTGGATGCTTGGTGGTATTTTTACACTGCCCATGCTTGGCCACACTGAAAACGAAGAGAACGCAGCGCAGCCGAAAAAAAATTAAAGCAGCACGCGATATATTTTTTATTTTCAAAGGTTATAGCCACATTTAAAGGCATCCGCCGACCACAGACGAGGGGCAAAAGTGCCGGCAAGCCGTAAGTTTACAAACCTTTGCAGCCATTTGCGTATTACAGCCGCGCGGACCGAATTGAAAATTTTGCAAGAACCGAAAAAAACGAAAAAATTTTGCACATCGTCGGCGGCGGCGACGTTGGCGGCAGCGGCGCTGCTTCTATGCCGCGACAGCGACCGTGGCGGCGCAGCAGCAAAAGGGAGCAGCTGAAAGATGAAAAATGAGAAATAATGTGAAAAAAATCGGTGGGTGCCCGTTTTAATGGATATTCGAAGAATAGTGGTGGAAAGTGTGGAAATTATGTGTAAATTCGATATGTAAATTCGGCATGTGCCGTGAACTGGTGTGCGTGCGTGAAATTCTTATTGGAAAAGCGTGCTCATCGGTGTGAACGAACGAGCGAAACATTTCGGCGGCGGCGGCGGCTGCTGTGTGTGCGTGTGTGAGAGAGAGCGAGAGAGCGCGCACACGCTTTTTTTAAGGTGGTGTGTGGAGGACACACACAAAAGAAAGACAAAGAAGAAGAGGAAGCACTAGGCCGCTGCGCTGCCGGCTAAAGCGCTGCTCTGTCGCTGCCGCCACCGCCGTCACCGTCAGCGCCGCAGTTGCTGCATTTTGTTTAGCCAGGAATTTCTTGCCCCAAAATAACTTCAAAATTTTTTGATTGCCATTGCGCCGCTGCTCCCCCGTATGTCAAAATATATTGTTCGGGGGGAAAAGTAGTATTGGGAAAATACTTCCACCCCGTGCGAGGTGCGTGTGTGTGTGTTTTTGTTGTTTATCGCTTTGCATTTCGATTCGCAGGCGACATCTAGCAGAAAAGCAACACCAACAGCAGCAGCAGCTGAAGAGGAAGACGCAGCGGCAAGCAAAAGACTGATTACAACGTAGCAGCAAGGAATTTAGAGCAGGAACCTCAGGATTCTGCCACTGCACTGAATTGTGGGTAAATCGCAAGGATATCTCCAGCCATCCCCCTATAACTGTTGTCTTCCAGGCACCGAGCGAGAGAATACACGGCAAAAAAGGCAAACTGCATTCGACGGGGAAAAGTCGGGAGCTGAAGGGTTCGGAGGGACGGACGGCGAAGAACCACCACAACAATAAGGCGGAGAGAGCAGGGACAACAGCAGCATCAGCATCATTAACAATAACAACAACGGCAAACAACATGGAAGATCTTCTCGTGGAAGTTCGGCTCGACAATGGCGCCTACTACAAGGTGAGCTGGAATATTATTAAATAGAAGAATTAGCTTTAGCCATAGCGGAAATCAAGCGAAGGGGAGTTGGGACGGCAGCTGCCTCAGTTTCTAATTTCGTGGATTTTAGCTTTATTTCTATAAATAACCGCAACATTTTGAGTGGAGTCTCGACATCATTCACCACCACCATCACTACCACTAATACCAACACCAGCACCAACACCGATACCAATGCACTACCACCAACGCAGGCAGGCACGCACACTGAGCGGCGCGGCGCGAAGCAACGCAGCGCGACGCGACGCAACGTCTCTGCCCGCGTTGTGGGGGTGTCGGCGTCGCTGCCGGCTGCGACAGAGCCTGACGTCGTCGGTCATTCGGATTTGTTGTTTTGGTGATTTCCCTTTTCAAATAAGAATTCAATCTGAAAAATAGATAAGCGATTAAATCATCCAAATTCGCGATAAAATTATGCGATTTAAGATAATTGTGGTCTAAAGGGAAAATTAGCTATTTAGTTAAATCGAATATGGTGTTAACTTATAGTTTTATCCAAGTTTTCACGATGCTAGTAGTAATACTTTCTGATAAAATGAGTTAGACACTGAATGTCTTCTTAAATAATAGGGGTTGTAATTTATATTTAATATTATTTCAAATATCTGCTATTTTGTTAGAATGTCTCACTATTTGGAATAAAGGAATGAGGATGAGAATTATGTAGATGATAAACCCCAAACCCTGCAATTATTTTATAAATAAGATGCGTTTTTCTTTTATCCTACGCTAGGTTTTATAAATGTATTTCTTGTTTCTTGAAATAATTGCTAAATAAATAAGTTTATGGTACCTAAAAAGGCCTTTTCAAAGGTGTCATAAACAATAGCTATTTCATGTTTACGTGTTTATGATTTAATCAGAAGCAAAGGGCTAAAAAATAAACATCTTTTACTTACAAGATAACGAGTTTACGATAGACAAACACATTGTTTTATTATACGATCTTAAACCTTAATTAGATAGTAGTTCTCTAGTTCTCTCATAAAAATGAGTCATTCTTATTCATGTTATTAAATACCACAATGAGTTATGGATTTTTTTTTATATTTAATAGTAGTTGAATATCACAATTGATTTTTATTTTATCAGTTTCTGTATAAGCTTTATAGAAATATTACAAACATTATTCCATTAATAATTTGATATAATATTCACTTGGTATCATAAAATATTGGTTTTCCATTTCCAATATCTTATCAGAAAGCATTTATTTATTGATTTCAAATTCCTGTATATGAGCCAGTTTAAGTTGTCAATCCCCACTCCCCTCTTAATTATTCATTCGATTAGCTTATTGATTGATCTACGTGGTCTCTCATTCGTGGAAAACTCTGGAAAACTGATAAGTTAGTGCTGAATATTCAGCATAGCTTGGCCTTTGATTACAGCGGTCGTAAACAGAGCCCAGTGTAAACACTCACTCGCCAGAGAGACTTCCCTCATGAGAATGAATGATGATTCAGCAGCACACTCGTTCTCTGATGTTTGCATTTCGGATATGGTTCCGCACTCGCTTATCAGAGATATAGAAAGGCTTTTCTGTCAGTTGGGCTTCGGAGAGCGATCGTAAAAATATAATTTAAAATAAATATATATACACTATATAATACCTAGGCAGATAAATGAGGAATATCAAAGACAGCAAAGCCACTTTAATGACACACATTTCTTTTCTGCTCTTTCTCCCGGCCTCGGTGTTCCTCTGGTTTGCCCTGTCAATGGACTCGTTCTACACCAACAACTACAACTATAACAACAACTCAAAATTAAAAACTACTACAACAACAGGGCCAGGTGACATCTGTCGGCGATGATGGCATCTTTGTGGATGTAGACGGGTAAGTTTTTGTTTTATTTTCTTTTCTTTTTTCGTTTTCAACAAACAAATCTGCGAACAGGACAACAAACCAGCAGCAGCAACAAAAAACTTGTAAAACGTATTTTCTAACTAATTTGCAACCATTAGTACAATCTGAGGAGCGACAGCCACAACCACCGAGAATAGCGTCTTCTTGGCATCGAAATTAGAAATTAGAGATGCTGGGCACGCATCATTTATGCCGTCTATCGTCCACCCATCCTTCCTCCGGTCTTCCCACCCTTCTCTATTTTAAATGTTTAATTTGGCGCAACTTGTTAAACGTTGCAGTTTGTAGCAGCAATAATGACACTTGACAACACACAGTCTTATTCCTAATTGTATTCAATATTAAGAGAAGGATAAGGTACTTAATGGATTACTATTGTAAAGTTATATATTTTATGTAAAAAAACTTAATTAGAATAATGGTGAATACACATCGTAGGAGTCACTCTATCCAGTTTTGGTTCAATTCACTTATTAAACAATCATTCAAAGTCATAAACAAGATAATAAACATAAAAGTTTCTGCTGTCATCTAGTGTTACACTTCTCCTTCTTGGCGGCACAAACAAAACATAAGAAACTGCTGACTGTCGGACTGACTGACCATCAAGATCCAAGACTCTTGTCCGCCCCACTGACAAACAAACAAACACCCAACTTCCACAGAAGCCAGCATTTTGCATTGCAGTTTGTAGAGGGAGCAGGAGGAGGAGGATGGAGGGTGGAGGAGGTGGTGGCTTCCATCTCTGCCAAAGCTGTCAAGTGCGAACGACAAATGCCACTAAGCACCGACGGCGGCGGCCATCGTCAAAGGCACGACTATTTTTAATCGCGGAAAGAAAGCATTTATATTTATTTATTTATTTCAAACTCGGTTATGACGCTGCGATCAGGCAGCTTGTAACGCCAAAAGGGAAGAAACATCAGGGAAAGGCAATCAGATCTATTTTTGGATATTTTATGGATGTTTTAATCATCATAAAAATGACTTGTTTGGACTTTAGCTTGGAATACTTTTTAATTGCCTTGTTTAAGGATAGATATGCTATGGATTCGTTTAAATATTTTGTAAATATCTCGGTCAAGTTTCAGTTTTAATTTACATGAGTAAATAGTTAATGATTCAATTTGTATTTCAGAATTAAATTAATGAAAGTTTCTTTGGATCATACCCCATATAATATTTCCACGTCAGATATATTGAAATTCTAGCGCTCAATAATATATTATAAATATTTATAAACCACAATTGTATTAACTGATAAAAGATTGATAATATTTAATATCTCATAATTTTATTTATATATCCCTTTTGCGATTATTAATCAGACGTTTAAATATGGATTTGTTGGTCAACTTTTGCTATAATCCACCGATAACTGTCGATATTTGTTACCCTTCGTATAGGAATGTAAACTTAAACATTAATATATGAATAGGAAGAATAGGAAGCTTCTCTTCGTTTAACCAATCTTAAAATATATATCTCTAAATTTCTGACACGGACATACATATTTCTCCCCATATTCGCTTTCTACAAAAACTTTGATTTATTTTTATTGCCACCAAATTTCTTATGACTTATGGGCTACTTCAAGTTCGATTGTACTAGTCTATATTTAAAGAATGAATTTTTTATTTTTAGCAATGAGCTTTGTAGTTTAGGAATTCTCCTAAAAGAAAAATCAAATAAAACTTAAGGTTGCATAGATCTATTTTTGGGTGTATTTGAAAACTAATTTGAAGAGCATTAAAGAGTCGATCATTTGAAATTAATTGCTCCCGTTTTTATGCCTGTTGTTTTGTAGCTTTCTTATTTTTTATTTAATGCTTGCAGTTCTTGTGACATTTTTGGAACGAAAGTTGGCCGCCTTTTTTGATTTAATTTTTGTTGTTTTGTCTTCCATCTCTCACACGAGATCCACTTCGAGCTGAGAGCAGCTGGATCTAAATTTAGTTTGCGCCACTGTCCTGCCGGCACGGCTACCTCTGCTGCTCCTACTGCTGCTGCTGTGTGGCATTTCCGATTTGTGTCTCGTGGTCGGGACTCGGGATGGGAATGGGATTGGGATTGGGAATCGCTATTTGGTGGCACCCCCACAATGGTTGTTGTTGCTGTTGCTTGTCTCTTGGCCCTCGGCCAGCAGAGCAGTTGCAGTCGCTGGCTATGTCTCTGCCTCTGCCACAGTCTCTGCTGGCGCTGGGAAACACCTGTCCGCTGACTATCTTAACATTTTGGCAAATGCACCTTAATTAATTAATTGAATCTGCTTTCTCCGCTCACTCTCACACACGCATTGTTTGCAGCGTCTCCGAGGTGATGAAATATCCATTTGGAAACGTCCGACTGCCGCCCGAGGAAGCCGTGGAGGTAACCGCACCGATCTTTGAGGAGGGCATGGAGGTGGAGGTCTTTACGCGCACAAATGAGCGCGAAACCTGCGGCTGGTGGGTGGCCATCATCAAAATGCTCAAAGCGGACATTTGTGCGGTGGCCTACATCGGTTTCGAGACGCCCTACACCGAAATCTGTGAACTGGGCCGACTGCGCGCCAAGAACTCTAATCCGCCAATTACAGCCAAGTCCTTCTATCAGTTCACGCTGCCAGTTCCCGAGGAGTTGCGAGAGGAGTAAGTGAAAGCCATATAAACCTAAGCTTTAAACTTTATTAACTTTGAATTCTGGCAATTTATAATTTAGAGCCCAGAAGGATGGCATACACAAGGAGTTCCAGCGCAGAATCGATGCCGGCGTTTGCAACTACAGTCGCGACCTGGACGCCCTGATCGTCATCTCCAAGTGGGAGCACACTCAGAAGCGTGCCAGTATGCTCAAGGATATGCATTTTCGTAATCTCTCACAAAAGGTTAGCTATCTGAGTCTTTTTCTTGATTTTAACTAAATGAAATCCTGTTTGTTTTGCAGGTTATGCTGTTGAAAAGGACTGAAGAAGCTGCCCGTCAGCTCGAAACGACTAAACTGATGAGCCGTGGGTAAGTTTAGAGTGTAGCTTTTGATTATAGAACAAAATGTTAAATATATTTTATTGTTTGTTGCAGAAACTACGTTGAGGAGTTCCGTGTGCGCGAGGATCTCATGGGCCTGGCCATTGGGTCGCATGGCTCGAATATACAGGCGGCACGCACGCTGGTCGGCGTCACCAACATCGAGCTTGAGGAAAAGTCCTGCACATTTAAGATCAGTGGCGAAACCGAGGAGTCCGTGCAGCGTGCCCGCGCTATGCTTGAATACGCCGAGGAGTTCTTCCAAGTACCCAGGGAATTGGTTGGCAAGGTGATCGGAAAGAATGGGCGCATCATTCAAGAGATTGTGGACAAGAGCGGCGTGTTTCGAATCAAGGTGAGTGCTGTGAGTATTGTGCTTTAAACTTGAGCCAGTCCTAATATTTTCCGGGCAGATCGCTGGCGACGACGAGCAGGATCAGAATATACCACGCGAGCTGGCGCATGTACCCTTTGTGTTCATTGGCACCGTGGAGAGCATTGCGAATGCCAAAGTGCTTTTGGAGTATCATTTGTCGCATCTAAAGGTTAGATAAATCCAATCGAAGCGTTTGATTCCGATGCTTACACTCCCAACGTATTCTAATCTGTTGCAGGAAGTGGAACAGCTGCGCCAGGAGAAAATGGAAATCGATCAGCAGCTGCGCGCCATCCAAGAATCTTCAATGGGCTCCACACAGAGCTTCCCCGTGACGCGGCGCTCTGAACGCGGCTACAGCAGCGACATTGAATCCGTGCGCTCCATGCGCGGCGGAGGCGGTGGACAGCGTGGCCGTGGTGGACGTGGTCGCGGTGGCGGCGGTCCTGGTGGCGGTAACGGCCTCAACCAGCGCTATCACAATAATCGGCGCGACGAGGACGATTACAACTCCAGGGGCGATCACCAGCGTGACCATCAGCAGCAGCGTGGCTACAACGACCGCGGCACCGGTGGCGGTGACCACAACACTGGAAACTATCGTGGCGGTGGTGGTGCTGGCGGACCCGGCAACAACAGGCGCGGCGGAGTGAACCGACGGCCGCCACGCAACGAACAGCAGAATGGCAGGGATTATCAGCACCAGCACCACAACCACACCGAGGAGACGCGAGAGGCGCGCGAAGTGAGCAGTGTGGAGCGAGGTGAGTCCCGTGTATAATCCTGCCAATTAACCAATTAGCTGAACCAATTTATTTTGCGCGCTCAAACAAGATACAAAGTGAATATTCTGAATTCCCTCCCCCGTAATTGGACTTGATGGGGACAAGAAACACTCAAGAATATAATATGTACAGCAAGTTTGTTAGCTCTAAAAACGTATCATTAATTCTCGAATATGTTTAGGTTTCTTCTATTTCAAATAAATTTAATAAAGTTGCATTAGTCTTTGGTTACTGAACTTTATCGAGTGCGTTATTATAGCATTACAGGATTTGGTTTCTTAAGGATGGGAAAATGAAGTTATTTGAGTCCTAGAAGTTTGTTTTTGGAAGGTTAAAGATAAGAGTAGTTCTTTAATGTACTTTATTTCTTTAAAGTATCGGTTTCAGTTTATAGATCTTTTAATGATCGGTTGCTTTACTATTTTAAGTTGTTTATGTTTTAATATTTAATTTTATTATACAGTTTATTGCAGAAGTAGGCAACTAAATTATTTATAATTACTCGTTTCCAGCTGTGAGTGGGTTTGGATTAAAATCTAGGAAATATTATTGCCGGTTTCCTGTGGATACTTATAGTAAATATTATATCCTCTTCATCTCTCCAGCGGACAGCAACTCATCGTACGAGGGCAGCTCGCGGAGGCGCAGAAGGCAGAAGAACAACAATGGACCCAGTAACAGTGAGTACATAACATCCAATGGCTTGTGGCTTACCTGATGTTTTATATCTTACCTGCGATTCGATAGCAAATGGAGCGGTGGCCAACAATAACAACAACAAACCCCAGTCGCAGCAGCAGCAGCAGCCACAACAGCAACAACAGCAGCCCCCGGCGCCTGCCAACAAAGCGGCGCTAAATGCCGGAGATGGCAGCAAACAGAATAGCGGAAATGCGAACGCCGCTGGCGGTGCGAGCAAGTCGAAGGATCCATCGCGCAACGGGGATAAGCAGCAGGCGGGCGCGGGAGCGGGCACGGGCGTTCAGCAGCAGCAGCAGGCGGCACAACAGCAACAGCAGCAGCAGCAACCACCGCAGGCACAGGCCCAGCAACAGCAGGCGCCACAGCAGCAGCAGCAGCAGCCGAAGCCGCGACGCAACAACAAGAATCGCACCAATAACCATACGGACCAGCAGCAGCAGCAACAGGCTGGCCAGCAGCAGCTGACGGAGAACGTGAAGAAAGAAGGCCTGGTCAATGGCACGTCCTAAGCAACTAACATTAGTGGATCGGCAGAAGAAGAACGACCGAGTAACAATGTTGTGCGAGGCAGTGGATGGGCAGGTCAACAACTATTCATGTTAAATGTCGTTGAGTATCGCCACGCCACCATTATATAACAACAAAACCACACCCAACAGGAGACACACAGAACAACAACAAATGCGACAGCATCCAAATCATTATCAACAGCCACTAACAAATTGTTTGAGAAACTATTTAAGAGTAACTAAGGAGAAGAGAAGTGAAAAATTAATATACATGAAATATGTAACATTTGTAAAAGCATATACTAACCCACAGACACACACCACATACACCCAAAACACACCACACATACACACACCCACACCGTTCGAATTATACACAAAACAACAAGAAAGTAAAGAAATAAAAGAGAAAATTATGCCTAGGCTTATATAATTTCAAATTGAAGCAAACCAAATGCTTCAATTACAATCAAAAACTGAATTATATATTTATGTATAAAACAAATTCAAAGGCAATTAATAATTAACAAAGCAAACGAACGAATCGAAGGGAAAATACTGAATATGTAAACTAAAGCGTTAACTCTAATCCGGGCAACTAGCGTAGTTTTTCAAAAGGAAAATCTAAAAGAAAACAAAAGCAAAAAAAAATTAAGAGAAGAACCTGGCGGCTGAGCGGCGCTTCTAAAGCGCCCTTCACCGCCGACAATTGAAATGTTTCTAGTTATATGCATATTATAATAAAAGAAAACAATATGATTGCATTTTTTGTTGTTTTGGTTAAATTAATAATTAATTTGAATTAAGTCTGTACCGCCAAGTTTTTGTGTATAATTCGTGCAAGCAACAACAACTTAATCGCAGGTTTATTTTATTCATGAATTTTAACATTATATTTGTATTATTATTGTTTAGTTTACCATTTATTGTAAATGCAAGTTTGCGCTTTTTGGAAGATGCTTGCAAAAATTAAACAAATTAATTGAACGCGTGACTAGATACCTTGGCAGCGTTTAAAATTTGTTTACTTTGTTCGTTACAACATGGCAATCCTCTTACTCTCTCTCTTATTTGTATTATGTTGTATTTATTTACTATCATTAATATACCACCATTAACATACTACACTCACCCGCATTAGACACATGACTATCATACATACACGCAGAAGGCAAGAGAAGAAAATGAAACGCATTGAATTTGATTTTGTTTTATAAATATATAATTTACTTGGCCAAAACCTACAGAGCGTATACTAACTTAGTCCTCTATTTAATACTCTTAAATTATTTAATGCAAGTGTAAAACGGCACGTCGAGCGCTGAACCCCACAATCATCGAGCAGTGCTAGACCTTAATTAAATGAAATTAGTTCAAGCAAGCGGAGACCACAGCAACCACAAAAGGATTATAAATACAATGTAAAGCCAGCATAAAAACCATCTAATAATTAACAGCGAGTCAAAGATGGAGAAGCAAACAGAACAATTCTCACTAATTTGAAGTACATACAGTGTCAATAATATGTAAGAAACACCACATTTTAACATAACATTTAATAATAATGAAGAAGGAGATAACGATAACAGTACATATAAAGATATAATTCTAAATAAAAGTAATGTTGTGTAATTCAAATTAAATAAACAAACAAACAAACGAAACGAAAACTGCATAAAACATAAACAAAAACATAATATTATATAAATTTAATGAGAAGAATGTGCGATTTAAAATTATTATTTATATAAAAATGAACTTATAAAGAATAGAAATATAGCAAGTAAATTTTATTAATTTAAAATTTATATATATATAAAACAAAACACAAACCATAAAAAAACAAACAGGATTCGAATTTAATTGTTTTGCTTGCTGAAAAATCAATTCGATTACTTGGAAGGGATGGATTTTTATTTGACGAAGTCAATATATAAATTGATATTTTAACATTGCAATGAATCGATATTTTGATTTATGTATTGAACTTATCAGTATTTAAGAAATTGTATTTGGTTTAATATGATTAAATATGAATCGATATTTTCATTTATATATTGAACTAATTAATTGAAATCTATTCGTTTCTATTAGTTTCATATATAAATTTAACTTATTATTTAAGAAATTTCATTTTGTTTTTTATATTTAAACGTTTAATCCTATGATTTTTGATATTTTAATGTTAATTATTTTTTTTATATTTAAAATTTGGATATATATACTTTGCGCTATATATTATTTAGGGAAAAGTTCTGTCTATATAGAACCCTATTTTGTAGATTTCCATATACTATTTTTCTAAGAGGGACATGAATATTCTTTAAAAATCTTTATTTATTATTTATTTATTGTTATGATCTTCTGTGTCGAGTAATTATCTTTATTATTAACTAGAAGCTACAGTTAAGACTTAGGATTAGTTCTTCTAGATTTCCTTGGGAAGTATTGGTGGAAATCCGTTTCCTTGAAGTATTATGACGAGTTCCTCTCAAGTTGCTGGTTCTTCGTGAGATTCCTGGTGATTCCCCCATTTAGATAACGTTGCTTTAGCTTGTCGCGGCGGCAGTGAAGATAGTGGCTGTGGGATTGACTGCGGCAATAATTGGCTACACAACCAGCTAACCACACTGCCAAAGCGCATAGCCAATTGAGGTTACTTGGATTGATTGTGATGATTGACACTAATTTGGTTATAACGAGGCGGGCTCGACGGCTCCATGATTGATGGAATGTATAGAGAGTGTCATAGTTAGTGTTTTTTTTTAGAATGTTTTGTGCAGAAACCATTATAAGCCTCACCATCTTGCGGATTTTTGTAGCAACTTCAAATCCGCTGAGCTTTTGTTCAGAGAGCGCCACCTTCTGGTTTCGCGTGGCGGCGGCGACATGATTTCCGTTTGGGGGATTTCCCTCTATGCTGCTATTTATGCTACGTTGCGTGGTCTCCGTAAAAAAAAGCTCTTTAATGCGTTCCGCGGGGTGGGGGGTGGTGGGATGCGCTGTAAAATATGCAATCTTTAGTTTTAGTTGTCCAACAAAGTATTATTTAGTAACCTTTCTTGTTGCTTTCGTTTCAGGCTAGCAATTATTTTATGTAGCTTAAAATTACATCCCCCCTCCCTGTGGCTTAATTGCTCAGTATACTTGGTTCAATTAGAGTCGCCATGTTCAAGGTCATCGAAAGCTTGCAACCAAGAAACCTTGCAGCCAAAGGTTACCTCTCTATGCAACGCTAGTAGCTTGCCACAGTTTATGACTGAACTCTGTCCCCTAAAAGCTAAAGGTCCCCTTTTTAGTTTCAGTGAAATAAAACCACAAGATACGTATATAGTTTTTAGATCTTCATAGAAGATATATTCAACATTTTATTATGTATTCTTTATTCTTTATTGAAACAAACAGTTCTTATACATATATTGCTTAGGGTTAAACTTACTTAGCTCTATATAAATATATAAAATAAAGAATAATCAGTTTGACACTATCACAAAAATTGCATATACATATATATGTATGTATATATATGTTTTATATTGTTTTTGTATTCGCATTTTCTTGCATTCGGGAAGATCGTACGTTCCGGAATGTCGTACCAGATAGTGCATTTACATGCTTCAAAATGTTTCAGTGCAAATGCACTCCTGACACGCAACCCAAAACCTTCAGAAGGATGCATTATATTATCTCTTGTATATATTATATATATATATATTCTTCTTTTTGAAACTGAAACGATAACTAATATTATGTTGAGCACATCGCGGCGTCGCGGTTTCTGTCATTTTTGGCAGCTATTGGACTCAGTCTGGATCGATCTCCCTGGCAGTGTTATTTAAAAGGGATTGATTGTATAAAACCATAAGGAAGAAAACTCTTGACAAAAATCAAACAAAACTCGAAAAACTCATGCAGAACAAAGGTGAACAACGGGTACAGGAATCAGGAATGAGAGATTCGAGTACAATGAACCAGGGATCTGCGCTCAGGGAACGCAAGTGATAAGCAATGGCAGTCGCAGGTGCCAAGGTGCGCAGCTGATAATGATAAGAAAAAAAGGTGTGCGTGTGGTGTGCGTGTGTGTTTGTATGCCTTTGGTGTGTGTATTTGTGAAAAGTGGGTCGATGCGGCTGGCTGATTACCGATCACCAATCGGTTATACAAGCCATTTGTGTGTCACCAAATGTCATTTTGTTACTACTGCGCCCTGCCCTGGCTTTTTTCCCCATTTATTTATGCTCATTGTAAGGCCATCAGTCAGTGCCTTTAAAGCCTATGAAAACCCCAACGGAAATCAAACACAAGGGAACCGAGTTCTGGTAGAAGAACGATAAGATAAGCACGAGGAGTGAAGATTAAAGGCTATAAAGTTAAAATTGTATTAATCCAGCGGGTGGAGAAAGCACCTAAAGCATTTTCGTTGCAGTTCCCAATGTTTTCTAGAGCAGAGATTCGGTTTTTTTATATAGAGGGAAGAGGTGGCTCTGCCTATGCAGCCTTCAATTTCGACTTGCTTGGCTGCCTTTTTTTACTAGACTTGAGGTGTGGCGCATGAACATGAGCAAATAAATCCAAAACGAGGCCAAAACATTGAGCAGGCATTAGGCCCAAACAAAGGCAAGAGGCACTAGTGTGTGTGTGTGGTGGTAGGAATCAAATAATCAAAGAACTGGTAAATTAAATTCACACAAAATCCGACTCTTTGCAGTGAAGTGAATAAAAAAATAAACCCACCAGAGCAAACACCATTTTTTTGCAATTAAAAACAGCGAATGGTTGTGCATTGCACACACTGCGTATACGCGATGAATGTGTCATCTATATGCACACACACACACTCTACTATATCTATATAGAGTGGAATATCTGACAGCTAATAAACAGTTTTTAGCTTACTAAATTCAATGTGTGTTTCTGTGTTAGTTTTTAATCGCGTGCCAGCAAACACTATGTGTGTGTGTGTTGTGTGTGTTCTAATTTCGAAAGAACAAGAGCTCTTGGCAATTAAATAAATTATTGTTCACTGTGTGTGTGTGTGTTAATAGTGTGTGTGGTGTGTGTGCTTAGGTGTATCGATAAATGAAAAGCTAGCTCATGAGCTTAAAAAGCGTTAACTGAATAATACAAAAAAAATAAAGAAACGAAAATGCGTTAAATGGGTTACATGGTCGACCTGCTGACTGCCTGCCACTTTTTGAATGAACAAAAATTTCTAAAATGCCCCAAAATGCCGCATCGCCCATCGTTCCTCACCCTCCTCCCCTCCTCCCCCCGTTCTAAGCTGTTTGCTCCTCTTTATGGCCCACTTAGTGGCTCAGTTATAATTTCATTAGGCAAATGCTGAGCATTTTTCATTAGCACTTCATGAAGCCACCCCACCT